GGACAGGTACGGGATAGCGCCAAACAAACAAAAAATTGTGGCCAGCTGTCTTTGCTGGTACGGTAAAGTACGGGACAGATACGGGATAGCGCCAGGCGTGACACAAACAAACAAACAAACAAACACCAAATTAAAGCTGTGTGGACCCTGGCTAGCGCCAGACGTTACTGAAGTAACGTCTTCTGCATAGCTACGGGAATATTATTATGATGTACATGTACATACATGTGTACAGTACATATACAAAAAATACATTCAGCACCGTATATATAGTCTAAAGAGATTAGTTGAAGTGTCCCATTAGAACGGTTTCTATCATTTTAGGGTTTTTCAGTGGAATTGTCAGGGCGATGATGACGTCCGATCAGATCGACCATCTCCACGTACTACATGACGTAGCTACATGTATTCCAAACTGTTCGAAACTAATCAACCTCTTCCATCGAATGAGGTTGTGGAATTTCGAGGAGTTTCGAGGAGCTCCGTTTTTCTGAAGAGGCCAATGAGCCTTAAGGCCACTTCTTCAGAAAAACGAAACTCCTCGAAAAGTCAAACTCAAAGAGTGACAATTCGAACGCGCCCTGACTCACGCTGCTATCTGGTGTTCACGAAGTGTTTGTCGCACTGGAAACGGAGCGCCTCTGCAATTGTAAGTTTGTATTCCTGGTGATGTTTGTGCCCGGAGAGCACTATTATGAGTAAAGTAATAGTTGTATCACCTTTAGAACTTTTGTCACCTTCAAATTTCTTTGGGTATGCCACTGTCTTTTCTATGTTGAAAGTGCGCCACTTTACCTTGTAAATAATACTCATATCAACTATTCAATCGTTATCTGCCTCCGCTTAGGAGCTCTAATTAGCGAAACACCTGTCTGGAGGATATGGAACATCTATTCAAGACCAAACTTCCTCGCTATGGAGTGGTGTTGTGAATGTGGAACTTCCTCGCTATGGAGTGGTGTTGTGAATGTGGAACTTCCTCGCTATGAAGTGGTGTTGTGAATGTGGAACTTCCTCGCTATGGAGTGGTGTTGTGAATGTGGAACTTCCTCGCTATGAAGTGGTGTTGTGAATGTGGAACTTCCTCGCTATGGAGTGGTGTTGTGAATGTGGAACTTCCTCGCTATGGAGTGGTGTTGTGAATGTGGAACTTCCTCGCTTTGGAGTGGTGTTGTGAATGTGGGTCAAGAGCGCAGTGTGGGGAGGTGGACGGGTTAAGATTATTTTCAAATGGCCCAGCTTGTCGCTACTTCTGAATTATTTAGTCGTGCAGTTCTCAGTGGTCAGAGAGTCGTGAACACTGGGTGAAGCTACAGATTTCACACAGTCATGTCATGTGCAGCATGCCGCCCATGCATGGTGCACATGACATAATAATTATTATGACATGATAATTATGAAGTAGTGGTTGCGACCTCGGCGATGATTTGTAAGAAAAGGGTTTGCTCCCCACACCGGAGCTCGCGCTATTCCGCCGACTTTACTTGACACTTGACTGACTCACGACTGCCATCCAGAGCACACGAGAAGTCCATCGAACCTTCGACTCGGCAAACCTGCAAGAAAGCACCACTCCCTGCTCAATACACAGTGTTTCGGGGAATTCACCCCTCCTCAGTTGAGCTTGAGTAGGCTGAGGAAGATTGTGCCTGAAGAGCACCACTTATAATTATAGTGCTCTCCAGGCACAACCATCACCAGGGATACAAACTTACAGAGACGCTCCGTTTTCAGCGCGACAAACACCTCGGGAGCACCAGATAGCAGCGTGAGTCAGTGTCGCTCCTGGACGGTGAGACATGGACTTCTCGTGTGCTCTGGATGGCAGTCGTGAGTCAGTCAAGTGTCAAGTAAAGTCGGCGGAATAGCGCGAGCTCCGGTGTGGGGAGCAAACCCTTTTCTTACAAATCATCGCCGAGGTCGCAACCACTACTTCGTACTGTTGTGCCCAGCGCGGGCTTGCGACTAGTTGGTTTGGAGGTGACAGCGTTGCGAATGACCGAGGGTCCTCGACGTCTGTCTCACCGTCCAGGAGCGACACTGACTCACGCTGCTATCTGGTGCTCCCGAGGTGTTTGTCGCGCTGAAAACGGAGCGTCTCTGTAAGTTTGTATCCCTGGTGATGGTTGTGCCTGGAGAGCACTATATAAGTGGTGCTCTTCAGGCACAATCTTCCTCAGCCTACTCAAGCTCAACTGAGGAGGGGTGAATTCCCCGAAACACTGTGTATTGAGCAGGGAGTGGTGCTTTCTTGCAGGTTTGCCGAGTCGAAGGTTCGATGGACTTCTCGTGTGCTCTGGATGGCAGTCGTGAGTCAGTCAAGTGTCAAGTAAAGTCGGCGGAATAGCGCGAGCTCCGGTGTGGGGAGCAAACCCTTTTCTTACAAATCATCGCCGAGGTCGCAACCACTACTTCGTACTGTTGTGCCCAGCGCGGGCTTGCGACTAGTTGGTTTGGAGGTGACAGCGTTGCGAATGACCGAGGGTCCTCGACGTCTGTCTCACCGTCCAGGAGCGACACTGACTCACGCTGCTATCTGGTGCTCCCGAGGTGTTTGTCGCGCTGAAAACGGAGCGTCTCTGTAAGTTTGTATCCCTGGTGATGGTTGTGCCTGGAGAGCACTATATAAGTGGTGCTCTTCAGGCACAATCTTCCTCAGCCTACTCAAGCTCAACTGAGGAGGGGTGAATTCCCCGAAACACTGTGTATTGAGCAGGGAGTGGTGCTTTCTTGCAGGTTTGCCGAGTCGAAGGTTCGATGGACTTCTCGTGTGCTCTGGATGGCAGTCGTGAGTCAGTCAAGTGTCAAGTAAAGTCGGCGGAATAGCGCGAGCTCCGGTGTGGGGAGCAAACCCTTTTCTTACAAATCATCGCCGAGGTCGCAACCACTACTTCGTACTGTTGTGCCCAGCGCGGGCTTGCGACTAGTTGGTTTGGAGGTGACAGCGTTGCGAATGACCGAGGGTCCTCGACGTCTGTCTCACCGTCCAGGAGCGACACTGACTCACGCTGCTATCTGGTGCTCCCGAGGTGTTTGTCGCGCTGAAAACGGAGCGTCTCTGTAAGTTTGTATCCCTGGTGATGGTTGTGCCTGGAGAGCACTATAATTATAAGTGGTGCTCTTCAGGCACAATCTTCCTCAGCCTACTCAAGCTCAACTGAGGAGGGGTGAATTCCCCGAAACACTGTGTATTGAGCAGGGAGTGGTGCTTTCTTGCAGGTTTGCCGAGTCGAAGGTTCGATGGACTTCTCGTGTGCTCTGGATGGCAGTCGTGAGTCAGTCAAGTGTCAAGTAAAGTCGGCGGAATAGCGCGAGCTCCGGTGTGGGGAGCAAACCCTTTTCTTATGATAATTATGTGTAACTAAAATTAATTACTTACTTTTCACGCCTCCATTTTTATATATGGCCCACCATGGCATGCTCTGGTCTGGTATGGTGACATCCTGTATGACCATGCAGTGACAATCCACGTCTTGAGCTTGCAAGTATTTGGGCTACTTCCAAGTGGGTTCACGGCTAGTCTTGTGCAACCTCCGGCGCCATTACGGGCAGTTCTTTAGTTTAGATCAAGAAGTTACGGCATACGAAGTTGTATGCCGAGACAATGACATATGTCCGGTTTCGACTGGCGTTTGCATTGTTGCGGTCGGCGATCATGTGCATCTCCAGTGCCCGATCGTCATATCACCGTCCTGTGAATGCATTGCGAGAGTTGGCAATCTCGGAGGGCCGGCTGTGAGGTTTTGGAGACGATGGTGGGCAGGACAGTGCCCTCGTAATATCCTGTTTTTGTTTGTTTGTTTGTTTTTCTCGTTTTTTTGCGTTTTTTTCACACATACAATTATTGTTTTCATTTTTTGGTGTTGTGTTCTAATCATTCGCCATGCCACTGCACTGTCAATTGTATTCTGTTTGCCCGTAAAAGAGGCCTACATGTAGTTCCGATCAAGAGTGCATAAACCCAGGTCACTGGTGTTATGTCACAATCTACTCTTCTTTCAAACACACCTAGCTAAGCTCTACAGAATCAGATTAATAATAATAATAATTATGTCTTTGCTCATGGAGTCTTGCTCAGTAGAAAAGTCACACATGCATGCATAGTCTCCCTGCCGCAAATACAGTGCTGGCAACTGAAATCCGACCCCCTGAGCTGTGGGTTCAGTCTCTGCTTCGTAGTTTTACCATCCCGTGTTGGGTCATTGCGATGTGAGCGCACCGCTGAGGGGTCGGATTTCAGTTGGCAGCACTGTACATTCCCCCAGTTCAGATTCACCATTGCATGAGTTTTAAAAATTTCGGGCATGACTCACGTTCATGATTCAGGGTAAAAGAAAGAAAAATAACTATTTCCTGTGTAGCCCAGATGGTGGGCCGTGCAACGTTTTCAGCAGATCTCGGAGTCGATACCCTGGTTGACTGTTTGAGTAAATGTAATGTAATGTCTGTTACTACTACCAAGAGTACAATCATGTACTCTTGCTATTACATGTACAGTAAATGTAATGTAATGTCTGTTACCATGGTTGCTATTACATGTACAGTAAATATAATGTAATGTCTGTTACCATGGTGACTACTACATGTACAGTAAATGTAATGTAATGTCTGCTGACAATTCGCGAATAACGACAGAATTTCCATGCCCCGAGCAAAGTCCCATCCCACTGTAATACATTATAATGAGACTTCGGGTATAACGACACTTCGCGAATAAGGACACCTTTTTGATGCCCCGCCGAGTGTCGTTATAAGCCAAGTTGACTGTACTGCTACATGTGCAGTAAATGTAATGCAATGTCTGTTACCATGGTTACTACATGTGCAGTAAATGTAAGGATGAATGGGATGATTATAAGTATTCACAAACTGGAATGTAGCAAATTGAGTTTGTGAATACTTACAAGCGTCCGTAGTAGCCTCGGCAACTACGCGTTGGCATGGAACCCATGCGGGAACCGCTGCTAACCACTACAACCGGCCTTCAAGAACACATAAAGTCTGCATGCATGGCCTCCAACATCAACGGAGAAAGTTGGATCAGAGACCTGGTAAGTACCAGGATCTTGGAAACCACTCTTCAAAATAGACGTGTTGAAATACGGAAAGAACGAAGAGCTGAGTAAACTGACCCAGACTAGCGCCAACAAAGTGCAAAACTCACAAACAGTGCCTCCTTGCATAGCAAATGCGCCGTCAGCTCTGTAACCATGGCAGCAAATCTAGCGGGGGGAGGGGAGAGGAGGGGAGGAGGGGAGGAGGAAGAACCAACTAACAGTAAGCAGGATTTTGCTGGTGAATTGAGCAAATTTACAAAAGGCAGCAGGCGGCAAAAAACCCGTGATAAACATGAAGGACTTTGAGTCGGCAAAGATTGCAATGCTTCTAAAAAACTCGTCAACGACATGACTAGGCGAAGCAAAGACGGGGCAAGGTCATGTAGCGCAAGAAGCAGCAGAGAACTAGCAAGCATACACAATCATATAAAAAGTATGCACGAGCATACACAAGGATAGCCATGAGCATTCGAAAAGCGTACAACACTGGAACACACACATCAGACAGGAAGAGCTTAAAGCAGATCTACATTGCTTTACTTCACCGTATGGATAGGCACACCATTGCATATATACACAAAAACTCCAACACAAACACACAAACACACATTCACACAGATGCATTCACACTCACACACACAAACACACACACACACACACTCACACACTCACACACACTCACACACACACACACACACACACACACACACACACACACGCACACACGCACAGACACACAGACAGACACACACACACACACTCACACACACATACACACACACTCACACATACACACACACGCACGCACACACACACACACACACACTCACACGCACACACACACACACACACTCACACACACACACGCACACACATTTTACACACACACCAGGGATGTGATGTGTGCTAAGAGAAACGAGTGCGGCAGCTTTAGTACCAGGTACCACGGAGAACATTCATCATTGCGCTCATGTTGCGACCGTGCAAATGATAAAAGAGCAGCACTTGAGCAGGAAACTGCCAGTCATGTGTAACGAAATGGCAGTCACATGTGACAGGAAAATCATGACACTGGCTTCGGGAGAAGGACAATTTGCTATACAAAACATTCAGGATGTGTGGCGAGGCAAAAAAAATAACATAGAAATGTATTGACATTGTGTATCACTTGCGCAAGTGCTGTAACCACTTTGAGGCGCAAACACGGTCTTGCGACTAGAGCCGGATTTGACGAAAACGTGCGTCCCTGTGTCAGAAGCAAACAAATGAGTATCAAAGAGTGAAGTTCAGTTTCACAATAATTATACATAATGTTGTAGCTATCCCGCTGGTGTGTGAAGGTGCCTAAGCTAAATAGGCCTGAGCCATAGCAAGGTAGACACATTGAAAATGGTCAGGAGCCGCCAAAGGGACATGGCTCCACTTTCAGAAAGGGCTACAATGGTGAAAAATCACAGTCGAATTCAAGGCCCTTGATGAATAGCACTACCGGACTGCTTGATGAAATACGGTCTCTTAAATCAAGTTTGCGGCCGGCACCAGTTCACATCCCAGTGTTTGCAAGTCTAGGCTGCACGGCACCCGGAGTGGCATTCACTAGTCTAGGCTGCACAGCGCCCGGAGTAGCATTCACTAGTCTAAGCTGCACAGCGCCCGGAGTGGCATTCACTAGTCTAGGCTGCACGGCGCCCGGAGTAGCATTCCCTAGTCTAGGCTGCACGGCACCCGGAGTAGCATTCACTAGTCTAGGCTGCACGGCGCCCAGAGTAGCATTCACTAGTCTAAGCTGCACAGCGCCCGGAGTAGCATTCACTAGTCTAGGCTGCACAGCGCCCGGAGTAGCATTCACTAGTCTAGGCTGCACGGCACCCGGAGTAGCATTCACTAGTCTAGGCTGCACGGCGCCCGGAGTAGCATTCACTAGTCTAGGCTACACGGCGCCCGGAGTAGCATTCACTAGTCTAGGCTGCACGGCGCCCAGAGTAGCATTCACTCACTTGATCGGATTTCATTGAGCAGCACTGTCCTTGTAAAATTTCAAACAAAAGGTTGGTGATGTTCAAAACAAGCGGGTAGTGTGCGTTAACTTGATATGCCAGGTATGAAGCATAGAAAATCACTTTCATTTTAATGTTAATGTTGCATTCAGGGTATGGTCTTGTGTTTGTTTGTGTGTGTGTGTGTGTGTGTGTGTGTGTGTGTGTGTGTGTGTGTGTGTGTGTGTGTGTGTGTGTGCATGTGTGTGTGTGTGTGTGTGTGTGTGTGGGTGGGTGTGCATGTGTGTATGTGTGTGTGTGTGTGTGCAGTTGGATCCCGGGACGGATACCCTGATGCCGTCAATCCTTTTTCTGCACCTTGTCCTCACCCACTTACTGAGGTGTGGGAGCCCATAAGTGGGATCATTTCAAGTCCACCCAAGTTTGGGGATTTCAGGGGGTGTCGGCCGCTGGGTGGTTCAATGGCCAATTGAGTGATCTTTCCAAGATTCCTTTTGAGTCTCTCTCCCCTCTCCCGGGGAGACCCACGTGACCAGTTTTGGCAGTGAGCAAGTACAAGTACAAGTGTGTGCATATGTGTGTATGTATGTATGTGTGTGTGTGTGTGTGTGTGTGTGTGTATGTGTGTGTGTGTGTGTGTGTGTGTATGTGTGTGTGTGTGTGTGTGTATGCATACATGCAATAATGTGTACCTTTGTACTGCTTCATATGTGGAAGAGAGAGGATCGAAGTAAAATTTGTTGTGATATAGATTTACATGCTAAAGCAATCATCAGACAACTGCTTCACATGTATCTCTCAGTAGGTGGTGTGCTTTGTTTACATTGGCCATGCTGTTAGGCATGTAATAGATACAGCAGTAGATATCACTACAGCTTTGACTAGAGGCCAGGCTGTTAGGCATGTAATAGATACAGCAGTAGATATCACTTCAGCTTTGACTAGAGGCCAGGCTGTCCGCTCCTTATTTGTTTACCTGAGGTAATTTCATATTCCCGTATGTAACGTGACTGTACTCTTGGAGTGGACTAATGATAGATCAAATTGCGCGGGCTGGAAAGCGTAGTCCTGCCTGCTCAAAGGTGATGGAACTAGATCCACTGCCCGTCGTCAAGTGATGACGGGCAGGAACGGATTCCACTGCCCGTTGACGACGGGCAGGAACGGAATCCACTGCATTCATTGGCTCACAAACTTGGCGCGTGTTTCGTAAATACAAGAACAACGGAAAGAGCGAGTCATGTGCTTTACAAGTACATGTTTGTATGGTGTGCGCGTGCATGCATGCTCCTTGGCTTGGGTGCACACGGGAAACATGTTCCAGTCACTCATACTCAGCCAGCACCGCTGTTCATCCAGCTATTGCCGCTATCGCGGCTCGGGATGGATTCCGCGGTACTGCCCTTGTACTCGTGTAGGAACATGTACATGTGGTTTCTATGTTTTCCCCTACATGGCTGCAGACAGATGAAACTCTCTTCCACCTGAATGTCGCCAGGCAGGCATTCTTTGCAACAGTTGTTAGCAGCTTACTTGATCACCTAAGCTAGGGTACTCTGTAACTTGACAATAAGTCAGTGGTGTCTGCGCTAGTAAATAATGAATGCTTATACTACAAACCATGGGATTGTGTATGATTGATCATCTTTTGTGTACATGCACTACAAATAACAAACATTCACCTTCAGACACGATCGCACTCCGCTAGTAGGCTGTTCATCTGCTCCAGCCGTCCCGCATACTGACCGATGGCTCGGATCATCCTGCACAGCGCGATGTAACCTTGTCTCTCCTTGTCCATGATGATGCCAAGCAGCTCACAGTTATGCTCCCTGTTGCTCTGGTACCTATCTGGGCGTATCAGCTTGTCGATGTTGTGGTCCGTGAGCAAACCTTGCGTCTGCGCTGCTTCACGGATGTCATCCGCGGGGATGCTCTGCAGCCACACGTGAATGTCTGGCATGAAGGACGGGTGGTTGAACGGATTGTCCAGGAACGCATCTGTACGTAGTAAAAGTCATAGATACAATGCTGCTGTATTGGAGATCCTTCAATAGGTACATTGCAATCCGAAAGAACATCAAAGAAGAAAGAAGCATTAACAAAATACTGCGGCCAGCGATGATCCCTGAGGCAGTCACAAAGAGCCAATATGTTCACAACCTGAAATATATAGATGAGCAGTGAAGACGGACAATGGCCACTTAACCCTTTGTGTATGGACTGTACAACTTTCGATCCCCTGGGATCGAAACTTTTCAAAATTTCAATCGATCGGAACTCAGTCATTCCTGGGTTATTTCCAAAATCTAAAATATGTACGTCGAAGAGAAAATTCTCAGCTGTCCATTAAACACCACCAAAGTTGAACACATTGCAGTAAAAGTATAGCAACAACGTACCTGTGTGGGACAAAATGGAGAGCATTTCCTTGCTCTTGTCCACATACCCAAGTTCCTCAATGACAACACCGAGATCACGATAAGTCTTTAGGCCACCAGCTCTGAGCAACTGGATGAGCTCCTCATTATGATCAGATACTCCATCCCGGGACCGAATTCTCTTTAGTCTCTCTATTGATGCGCTGTCAGTTATGAGATGTTTCTTGACCACCATCCGCCGCAGTACATCTGCGTCAACTTTGTTCAACCATGGTTGAATGTCACACACAAACCTCTCCAGGTCAAACGGATTGTCTGTTGCGAAAGCAGAAAAATACAGAAGGCACAGATGACACATGAACACACAACTACACACAACTACATGTCCAGAAACAAAAAAATGGAATTGCACAACACCGATAATACATGGAAAGGAATTTGAGTGGACACACCCATTCCAAGAGCGCTGCACATCCGAACAAGTTCCGTTATTTTACGTTTCGGCACTTGGCCATCATCAGGTGATAAGAACAATGGACACACACACACACACACACACACACACTCACGCACACACACACACGCACACACACGCATGCACACGCACACACACATTCCCAGAACCGCACATCGGAGCGCTTCAGCGATTGTTTCAATGGACAGCTGGGAGTTTTCTCTTCGACCTACATATCTTAGTTTTTGAAAATAACTAAGTTACGATCGATTGAAATCTTGAAAAGTTTCGATCCCAGGGGATCGAAAGTTGTACAGTCCGTACACAAAGGGTTAATCAACAAGAGTCCAAGAGTGTCTAAGCATACCCAACCCTTACAAAATGTGGGAAAAAATAAAATTAATAGAGAAGGACGGAGAGAAAGAGAAATTGAGAGAGAAAGAAGTATACACATAGAGATAGTCATGCATGCATAGAAAGATAGATAGACAGACAGACAGACAGACAGATAGACAGGGAGGGGTAGCCCTTTCCCAAAGATGCCATAATTTTTCGCAACTTACACTTTTCGCAACAATACCAAAACAAGTGTGAGTTGCTGAAATCGCATCCATATTTTCAGAAAAAGCTCAAAGGTTGCTAACATTGCAACTTAAAATTGGAGAGTTCTCATGCAAAACCACTAAAAATGGAGCAGAAATAGCAGAAGTGCAGCGACAGCAAAATCTACACCCCTCTTGCTGTGAACCACCACTTTACATAGTGCCAGTAACCTGTTGCATGTATCCTTTATCAATCATTCCAGTGCACGGAAAAGGGAATGCACATATCGTAACTTCTGCTGATCTACTGTTTCTCTGAAATGAAATGAGCGAGTATACATTTGTCCGATAGGCCTTTGGACCCCATGCCAAGGGGCCAAGGTTGCGGAAAAGTTGCAAAGTAGTTCGGGAAAATGAAGAAGGTTGCGAAAGTTGCAATTTCTTCAAAAACAACGAAAAGTTGAGGAAATGGTGGCGAGCATCTTTGGGAAAGGGCTAGAGATGGGAAAGGTGAGAAAGAGAGAGAGCGAGAGAGAGAGAGAGAGAGAGAGAGAGAGAGAGAGAGAGAGAGAGAGAATAGTAAGCGAAAGAGACAGCATTAAAGAGACAGCAAGGCAGTGGGCAGTGGGAACAGTTCCCAGGAGTTCTAGGAATAGGGTTCTTGTTACAACACAGGTAGCAGAACAATGAGGTCAGTGATGAATGATCTTAACCAAATCATACAAAACTCACCAGATGATGCCGAACACTGCATGCCAGAACTCACCCCAACATCTATAGACAAGACAGCATACAAAACAAACACATACGCACACAGAAAACAGACGGACGGACGGACACACATACACACAATACTATTTTTATCAATCAGATATGTCAGGAACAAACACGTGGGCATAACACCTTTTCACTCATGGATATACAATCCTTCTTTTCATAGCATCAGCCACGATGTTGCCCAAACAACAGCCCTTGCAAAACAGTAGTGATGCCCTACGTTACGGGAATACGGCGCGAAGAATTCCGGGAACTCTTCGCGGGCCCGTAACGTGAAGAACATACAGGTCAAGCCTCCCGGTTTTCGCGTGAAAATCCCGGAAAAACATCAATACTCCCGGGGTCCCGGAGATTTCAAGCAAACTCCAGGAAAAGTCACATTTTTTGCCTGACCCAGGTTTTTCCTGAAAGCTCCAGCGACTCGCCTCCATTATCCCGTTTTTCCAAATAATATTATACCCCGTATGTACGGTGCATTCACGAAGTTCGAACTCTGCACAGTTCTTTCCCATACTTGACCAGCCTAGCCTGCATGATCTGCACCGACAGGCGCGCTAGGCACCCGCCGACTGATCGAACTGTGCTGTACGCGGAGTCCAGAATCATGTGCCGTTGAACCTTTTTTGGGCGGGAATAGCTCTTTTTCACGTGTTTTATGCCATCCAAGCGTTTTGAGAGAATTCCAGGGATTCTGCATGTCTTATCAAGGGATTGAGATGTTCGTGGTTGGTCGGTATGAAAGAAAACCTGTTCTGCTCTACGTTCACGTAGAGAAATCACGTTGAATGTGTACTGGGAATTTCCCCGTCCATATTTGGCAGTTTTCTGCCTGTATTTGAATGATATCCAGCAGACCCATGTGAATTTTCTTCACGTGTGCCTCAATGTAGAAAACCTCATCAGCGTAGAAATCTTGACCCAAAACACGCGAAGCCGTAGACTCTAACCCAAACACCTGCTTTCCACGTGATTTCTCTACGTTTCTTGTGAAGCAGAACCTCTCTGATACCAAACATGAACATTTTTTATTTTAGTGTCCATCGAACCGTGAACTCGGCAAACCTGCAAGAAAGCACGACTCCCTACTCTATACACAGTATTTCGGGGAATTCACCCCTCGTCATGTCACGAGTCAGTTGAGCTTTAGTAGGCTGAGGAAGATTGTGCCTGAGGAGCATCACTCATATAGTGCTCTCCAGGCCCGAACATCACCAGTGATACAAACGTACAGAGATGCTCCGTTTGCAGAACGACAAACACTAGGAATATGGTACTTGTTACAACACAGGAACACCAGATAGCAGCATAAGTCAGTGTCGCTCCTGGACGGTGACAACAAGCGTCGAGGACCCTCGGTCATTCACAACGTCGGTCACCTGCAAACCAGCTAGTTGCAAGCCCGTGCTGGGCACAACGGAACGAGTCCTCAGGCTGGTCAACCTTGATCTTGATTTTTTTATGCCAAGCAAAGGTCCGATTACACTCAGAGTAAATATTAAAACACAGGTCGCAAGCCTCTATCTATGTATACGGGTACTAGCGTTTCCCTTTACAAAGCGAATATTGGCATTCCGAGAAAAATCATAAATTTATGAAACAGATATCATATCTTACCGGCCGCATGAGTATGATGAGGAGGTATTTTGCACTTTGAGTACCCAGGACAGTGTTTCACCGCCCTGTAGACAGTGTTTGCAGCCGGTAGTTCGGGTAGCACATCGTCCACCAGGCTCAACACTACACTGTCAGGTAAGTCGCAAATGCCCTGGCGGAACATGTCGGCGGCATCACTCGGGCGATGTTCCCTGACCTTCTCATCGACGTCATCCTTGAAGGCTTCCTTCAACTTTCCTCTCTGGTTCAGCCTCCGCAAGCACTCGACCAGAGGGAAGTCTTGGTTAAGCAAGATACGGTGCTGATAGAGAGCAGAGCAAAGACGAGAGGCTCGACGACGTTCTTCAATCGTACCTTCAGCACAAGAAAGCAGACATGCAAGTAAAAATATACACCATGCAGTATAAGTTTGTTTAGATAGTTTTGGTCAGTCCATGGCTTGATTAGCACAGAATTTACACACACACACACACACACACACACACACACACACACACACACACACACACACACACACACAAACACACACACACACACATACACACACACATATACACTCACACACACAAACACACACACACATTTACACACACACAAGTGATACACACGCACACACGTGCACGCACACAAACACATATACACACAGGAGAGCACACACACACACACATACACACACACACACACACACATGCACGCACGCACAAGCACACACACACACACCCATGATAAACATTGCAAACTTACTGGCATTCTGGCAATCAGCTGAGCCAGCATACTCGTGTGTCAAGCGTGGGTCTTTGCGACGTTGATCAGCGCCAACATCCTTCGCAGCAGGAGGAAAGAGATGCGTGGCACGGATGTGGTCGCTAGCAAGAAATGCCATCGCGGCATTGAGCTCTCCTTGCTGGTCTAGCTTCCGAAGATGCCCACTGCTACTTAGCTGCTCATCATCTTCAAACACCATGTCGACTCTAGAGCCGGGTGACAATTGCTGTGGCAGCTTCAAGATGTGATGCCAGACCATCTCCTGAAAGAACGCGACGTCTTTCTTGTCGTAACCACGTGTCACGACGTTGAGTGCCAGCTGTCCGGCGGGGATCTCTACCAGCGTGTCGACCTGTGGATAGCGATTCATGACGACACGTATGCCACCTTGCCAAACTGGGCATCTATCTCCGCTCTCACAGAGCTCGGTCAGGATGGAGTGCTGGATGGCTGGCATCAAGGCTGCACTCATGGCGATCCCGGATCTGCAGTGCAGGCGGCGACCGGTGTACATGTAGTGGCGGTGAATCTTCTCATCGGCAACTGGCCAGTGGGCAGCTGTGCGGCTCTCTGCCTGGGCCGGCAGTATCATCACCTCATTGCCGTGATCCGTTAGATGACACATTCCCAGCTGCTGAGCAATCTCAAGCACCTTATCCCCGGGTAACTTTACCGTAGAGTTGGTACAGTTGCCCAGAACCTGCTCGACATTGCTGCGCTTCGCAAAGCCAAACTCATTACAAGTGATGAACGATGATGGCTGATAGGTGGGTGTGTAAAGTTTGCTGTAGATGTCACTCATCAGCCAGGTTGGTTCCAGCACCACAAGCTGCACGTGGGCGAAAAAGAAAACCTGCATGCAAATATGCACATGTACCCACCCAGAACATAATACATACACATACACATAAATTATAGTCATACACCCAGGCTGACACAACAATCATGGACACACACATACACTCAAATGCGAATAGGTACCCATAGGACAAACAGACACTCACACACACACTCATACACACACATACGCACACACACATACACACACACACACACACACACCAAGACACACGAAGACAGACAGACAGACAGACAGACAGACAGAGAGGACAGACAGACAGAGTGACAGACACAGAAACAAAGAAAACAGATAACCAGGAAAACATACATCGACTCTTGTGAATGCCATCTGATCTATTCGGAGCCACAAATTCATCTTTCAGTTCTTTGTACTTCGTACTTGTAGGTACACGTTTCAATTCTGTGCACCTTATAAACTCACGCATATTTTTCTTAGCACACACACACTATTGAACCCTCCACAGATGATGTGACCTATATAATGTGGTTTACATTAATATCATTTTTCCTGTCCACTGTTGCACTCGCTGCACTGTGAATATTGCTACGCGGTACGTTTTCTGCTACCCACTTGACATGTGGGTGGCAGAAAACGTAACACGTAGTATTCCTGCTGATGCTGTACACACGACACCCTCACAGCACATGCTGCTGCTACACACACATGCTCACATACATTGCCAGGGGCGTCGCACACGGTACGGTCACTACGGTATTGACCGTACCACTATTCGCCCCAAGTACCCTGTGAATCAATAAAATGCACTGATTTGGACTCTAAATTCCCAAAATTTTCGGCTCAGCCATCCCTTCCCCACGAGTAAAATTGTACTTCAGATGGCTGACCGTACCACACTAAAATACCTTCCAACGCTCTTGATTGCAGCTCTCACCTTGTGAATACCTTCAGTTTATTTTGGTCACAAAGAAACTGGGCCCAACAATGGATCGCTAGCTGAAGTGTTTTGTGAAATGCATGGGTTTAGTCTCAACATTTAAAAGTAAGGGACTGATTCTCGAGATGATGACACACCAGCAATTGTCAAGCTAGAGAATCAATCACAGACACCAGTTGTAGATAGCTCTCGGCCACACAACAGGAAAGCATCAGTGCAACTAAAGGTGCCGTGCTCCCCAAAATGTCTCAATGTCTACAAGTAGAGTTCGCTTGTACACTAGCACTCTTTTTCGTTTGAGTCCTGGTGATGACAGTCAACTTTTGCTCCAGACTTTTCCCGTTTGCATCTTTCCCTCAAACCAGTGAATACTCTTTTTTAAAATGTTTCTTTTAAAAACATACCAGAGGCCAAGCTAATATTTTCCTTTCTTTACCCGATGTGCACACTCGAGCTGGATTCAAATCTATTTTCATTCCTTGGTGCTTACTGCTTTAACGGCTTCCGGAATCCTTCGCTAGGCATTTCCCAAATTGGGCGGCCGAAACATTCGCCGAAATCAGTGGGTTTGAAGAAATCACCGATCGTTTTGCCGGATATGCAATTTTTGCACTGAATACGCCGAAAATCGATCTTTTTCTCTACAGCATGCAAATAAAATTTCTGTAACCATTATCTGCGAAAAGTGACTGCGACTTTAGGCATTTCTGAGATCGGTCAGCAGGAAAAGAAACCGAAATCAATGGCTATCAAGAAATCCCCGATAATTGCGCCAAATTTACAAAATCTCGCGATGAAATCGCCAAAAATTGATGTTTCAGTGCCTCTATAACGTGCATGTACATGTACATGTATGTGTATACAGTAAGATCGGGCGCCGAAGAACGCAGGGGCTCGAGGGTAGCCTAGGAAAGTTCTTAAATTTTTGATTCTAGCCAGACCGTTCTTATTCACACGCGCGCGGCGAGTCGAGTGACGTCATGACGTTTGTCATGTACATGTACATGTACATGTACATGTAGTGCAATGTAGTACATGACTGTACTTCTAAACTAGTGGGTGTCGTAAATGGGAATGAATGTTCACCTCCCATACATGTACAATGTTCCAAATTTTAAAAGTGTTCTTAAATCTGATAATTCTAGCCTGGACTGTTCTTAAATTTTGCCGGTTTTCCAGCCTGGGTGTTCTTCGGCGAGGTGTTCTTCGGCGCCCGATCTTACTGTACTGCGATAGGTAACTTCAAGTACTGCTTTGAGCCGAATTCTGACTTTGGGGCTTATATAATATGGCCGAATTTGGACATTCCCTCAGCCGATCGAGAAGCCGGTTAGGCGAAAAATCGGGCCGATTTGGGAAATGCCTACCCTACCCATTCGCACTACTCGTATCCCCAATTCATTTCGCCAGGAACTTCGCACATTTATTCATCTTGGGCATCCTGTACGAAGACCTCAGGGCCTGTTCGAAATGCCCAAGTAAAAATAATAAAATACAATACCATGCAAGGGTTCTACCCAAAGGAGGGTAGGGGGCACAGCGTCCCTCTTTTCTTATTGACCGCCTGCCTCCCTGTGAAGAAGTGGCGCCCCTTACTCATTTGTCCATTTTGGTGTGTTTGCTGGCAATTCAACGAAAATGTGGACGATAATATCAGATGGTTCATAAAGGCACACGTATCTGGTGTGAAGTCGGGGTACGTTGCATTTCGGGTGACAAGTCTATTTTGGAAAATGGAAAAAATGGGCTACAGGGTGTTTCCTAGGCCCCCCCCCCCCCCCTACTATTTTCTCCTGCTAGAAACCTGAATAGCAATGAATAAAACTAATTATGAACTCATAACCATGACTTGTGTGAAACAATTATTATTATTAAAATGAAAAATGTCCAGGACGTTTTCTCGTGATTATCATCAGTGGAACATCGTCACATAGTGAGAATGACTAAAACATCCAGTTATGTAGCTAGAATAATATGACAAGGAGCGGAAGAATGTAGCAGCTCACGGTGGTTATGAGTTCACAATTAGTTTTATTCATTGCTATTTTACGACTGTTGTCTCTTCATTGGTTATTAGAAACCTGCATACAATACAATACATGCGTGCGTGTGTGCACGCACAAATACGCACACATACATACTACATATGTGCACATGCACACATTTACCTCGGCTTTCTGGTGTAGATCATGGAGATCTTGCTCCAGGTCGACTGCAATGGCTACCATTCTGTTCACCAGTTTCCAATCTTCTGCTTCGAACCTTTCACCTAAGATGAGATTGGCTAGTACCGTAGTGAATTCCTCCAGGCTGACAGCAGGTGTATCCTTGAACTTAAGGCGGATATCTTCCAGGAAGTACTCGACTATGGACATGGGAGTATCTGGTTCCTGTTGCACGTCACAGCATGTCAAAACAGAATGCACAAAATTGGCACGATTTAATAACAAAAAATCAACAAGCCCTAAATGAAATCCTAAGAGACGGATAGACAGTAACAGCAGTAGAGCCATGTGCAAATAATTCCCAAAATCATAACTGGTAGTGTAATAAATGTTGTGTGCCACAGCAACCAGAATGGGTGTCTTTAGTGCAAAATGGCGCAGCACTCTTAGGACATTAGTATACCTTATGGGAATATTTAAAAAGGCGACGTGGGGACAATAATTTTAAAACTAATGCAATGAATAGAACTATATGCGCACTAATATCACGATCGTAGCAACGAATAAAGTGTTTCAGAACGGTTTCTTGTCACAATTATCAATAGAATTTGTGACTGAAAGGAATGATGAAACTACAATAGGATTTATACACTTGGACTTCACTTCGAGAATCACTTTGCAATCACACACACTTGCATATGCATGTACATTGTGACACTGCACTTGCTGAATTTCCTATCATTTCTCACCTGCATAGTTTTATTACCAGTGCATTTTTACGAAGTTTGTGCTATTTTTCTTACTATTCTAGTATCTAAATACTCGACAAGGAGACAAAAATGTTGATATGGCAAAAAGGAGGACGGGCATAAGTGACATTTGTTTTCTGCACACTTTTTGAGAGAAATCACACCTCGATAGTTTAGTGCTGTCATTGTATCCTGCTACCCTACCTTATTATTATTTCTTTTGTTCCTATTTTGTTCTTTAGTACAACGGTAATTCCTGAAGAGTGCTATACGAAAACTTGTTCGAATCACCTTTTTTTTTCCATCGCTTCATTTCCTTACACATATTTCTCCTTACCTTTTAGATTGTTTTTGCATCGTCTCCATCGCTTTGTTTATTAAAGTGATCCAAATGTCATTTCAGCTCGTCCTCCTTATTGCCACATTAAGTTAAAATTATTCCAGTTTGGACACGGATCGAGAGCCAAGGATAAATTATTTTTTACGAGAAAGAAAAAGGACCAAGGAACTACAAGTCACGCTATAATGTCCACTAACACCACCAGTTACTAAACAATCACCAGGCTGTTGGAGTGCGCATCCAAGATGTGCTAGAGTTGTTAGCCAGTTAGTTGTAGAACGTCAGTATCGTCGGTCAGTGTCGTGCTATGTTATCGCATGAGCTGATTGTTTAGTAACTGGTGGTGTTAGTGGACATTACAGCGTGACGTGTAGTTCCTTGGTCCTTTTTCTTTCCTATAAATTGTTCTAGTATCCTCGCTTTTTCACTCCAAGTGTATAAATCCTATTGTAGTTTCACCGTTCCTTTTAGTCACGAATTCCATGCAAGAAAACCTTGTGGAACACTTTAGTCGTTGCTATGGTTGTGATGTGAGTGCGCATATAGCGTTATTCATTGCATTATGGGAATATTGTTAATGTTGCCCAGGAGTTTGTTGATCTGCGGATTACTTTCAGAGAGAAGATGCTACATTACAAACAAAGTATTCCACTTGGACCAGTGCCTTCAGAGTGTAATAAATCCTTTAAAACAATACAGTTCTCACCTTCACCTCTCTCTTCATTTCCTCGATGATGTCTCGCACCTTTGCCACACCATCGCAATTCTCGTCAACACCATTGACAAAGATCACAGGCTGGTCCATGAACTGAAGATGATCGCCCATTGTATCCTTCAGAAGCTCACATTCGGCGCTGACTACATCACGCTGCGATTCTCCAGCTTTGTCTCGCCGGGAAGCTACCATGAGCACCTTGTTGGCTGTCTTGCCGCTCCCTCCTTCCCCATTGCCTTTCTCCTCACCATCTTCACAGCTGCATGCTATGAAGTTACACCACTGGCGAGCCGAATGACGTACACATACCTTCGTCTCCACGCTGGAAACAGTGATGATATTCACTGCTGGGACGGTGGAAAACTTTGTCAGGCGTTGGTGATTACTCATATATCGGTATTGGCCACCTAGATCGAGAAAAACGATGCCTTCGTGGTAAAAGCGCTCGATTCCGCGGGTTCGCGCACTCTCGATTCGGTCCCCCTGATCACGCCAAACGAAGTAGACCAACCTGTCGTAGAACGTGTGACGCTTGTGCAACGACTTGAGTAGTGACGTTTTTCCACTGCCTGGGGGGCCAAGCAGACGCACCACTAGATGTGTCTTGCGTTTGCAGTTCTCCATACGTCGTTTGACCAGTATTTGCTGAAACACAGGATACGACGCATCCACATACCCATGCAATAACACAGATACACAAATGCAAGCATACGGTTGGCATGTGCTTCCCACCAGCGGTTGTCTATAATTGCTAGCGATTAACTTGAGTATGGAATTTATTGCTCCTCCATGCTTCAAAGAGCGTTAGATTATGAGGATCCCATGGCCATGGACATATCCCGTCAACCAAGGAAAATAGCACACTATAAAAGCCAACGGTTTCCCAGTGTTCGGGGGTTATCCATTGTTTTCTTTTTCTCAAAACAAAAAGGATTCAACTCGGATGGTGAGCCAATTCAATTAACTCGTAACATTTTGTCCAAAAATATTTCAAAAATTTCAAAAATATAGATGCGTGATTTGAAAAAACCGTTAGGCCAGCATCTATACCACATAAAATCTGTGATCACTTTGTGCATAAAATATTCGAAATTGGGTGTTTGATATCCGATCGCTTAAAATCTATAAGAGAGTAATTGGGGGAAGGGACCTGAGCAATATTCGAAAGAAATTCTCGAAAAGCTCCAGGCAAATTTGAAATATTTCAAAAAAACCATGCGCCTATATTTTTGAAATGGACTGTAAGACTTTCTTTTCCCTGTAGTTTTGGCCCAATCAGTACCTAACAGCTTGAAGATGGCCCTAAACCAGAACATGGATCTGACACTGCTCATGCATTTACCACTCCACAAGCTGGCGCAGCAAACTGTCAATCGAGAAATGGAGCTCATTACCCCGCCCGGACCTTGTTGGAACTTCGGAAATAGAACACATTTGCCACTCCATGGCTGTCCAGGCATGGATGCTCCCAAAAGTATAATAAATAATCTGTCCACTACATTTTCCACTCTAATTGCCGAAGTGGCTTCTGAGAGAACAGAATAAGGATCAAGAAATGACATACATGAAGACAACAATAATTGATGAGCTCACAGCGAAAGTTATCCAACTGAAAGAGGGTGCGACTCGACAACAGCAGTATGTTACACCTCTAACCTGCTCAATGAGAAACATACCGGAGTCCCCCATACCAGACCTATGGCGTACTCTTGTGTAGCATTACATGGCACAAGTGGAGTTCAGCACGTCACATCTTCAAATTGAGACACAGACCACAGCCCAGTGGCTGCATCACTCACCAATGGCGGTATTGGAACTAGTTGAAATCAAATTGGTACTGGTACGTGTTCGAATCTTAACAAAGCTCCAGCAGACACCGAAAGGCAAACTGGAAACTACCGAAAGAGCAAACCCTCTACACAAAGTAGTACGAGGCTGTGAAGCACAGCGTATGGTACACACACAGATATTCGTTTGGCGGAAGGGAATGGCCCAAGCGCCGGATCTGTAACGTCGAGCTACATGTACCGTAAAGTACCGCCAGAGCGCCCCGCCATCTCGTCCCTCCGTGGTCGTATTGTGGAGGTGGTATCCTGCCTGTAGGTCATACAACATGAACTTTGTACACATAGTGCACGTTGTGCAGACAATCTGTACCTTCGAGCGGACACGAGCTCCACACAAAAACCTGATAAGTGTGACCTTACAAAAATGGTTCTCACACCGTACAAACTAACTTCGTTGCATTCTGCCATACGATATTCTTTTCCCTGGCTGTAAAATCAAAGTGGGGCGCTCTCGCGAGACGGGGCGCTCTGGCGGTACTTACGGTACATGTTTATGAAACCAACATCAGTAAACGAATCACAAAAAATGCTCATCGGTGCTGGCGCCAGTGGGTGGGAAGTATATTCTTGGTTGGGAATGTAGCTATTGGCCCCAGAGCAGCATCAATACTTATTATAGTAAAGTCGCGCAATGACAGGGATGTGGTTGTTCAGTGCAGAGTGGTGGGGTGCTGCAATGTATTGATGTAAAAGTTCGTCAAAGTCCAAATTTGAAACAGACTCTAAGTTGCATTTTTCCATTGCAACATAATAATGAGGCTTACTACTAATGTCGCCCGAAGCTTGTGCTGTTGAGCCGCCATCTGTGACAATAAGCAGACAATGAGAGAATGGGCTGTACATGGTGACCAGACATGAGACAGAAATTCTGAGGCAACAGTCAAAGTATTCAGTAGTTGAGGGAATGGAAAAGGGAAAATACTGTAGTCAAAGCAATGACGTCACAGATGCGTTAAGCCCATGGATCCTTCCATGAGTGAAAGCGAATTGTAACTATTATTATTATTTAACGCAATAAATAGAGTAAGCTGCCCAGCTTACTCTATTTATTGCGTTAATTACATTTTTATCTCCACGTAAGCTTTTTAATTATTATTAGTATTATAAAAGTGTGAGTTAAGACGTCTGAAGAAAATGTTGAACGGTGTCTGCTGGGATGACGACTACACCATAGCTCAGTGGTTAGAGCATCGCTGGCTACAAGCGAGGGTCCCTGGTTCGAGTCCTGGTGGTGACAGTCAATTTTTTCTTCAGACTTTTCCTGTTTGTCTCTTTCCCTCAAACCAGTTAATATAATTTTTTTCTTCAGACTTTTCCCGTTTGTCTCTTTCCCTCAAACTAGTGAAGATTATTATTATTAAAGCAATGTTGAGTCACCTCCACCATTAAACTGCGCTCTTTAGCCGACTAGACCCTCCTGCACACAACCATCACCACTGCGAGGACACTTCCGTAGACGATATTGATAAACTCCTTCAGACAGCTGTTTCGCTAATACAAAGCTCATCAGTGAAGGTAGATGTTGAATGATTGAAAATATAGACCAAACTGCTATTATATAGGGGGTTTCCACATGCAAAACTGGCATAGCTGAGGTGATAACGCAGGAAAAAGGAAAGTGTGAAGTACTGTTGACTTGCATTGGACATGCATGCAGCGTCCAATGTCCAATACGCGTCAACAATATTCCACCAGCATTGAGTTAGTGCTTACCCTCACACTTCCATTCACACCTTATCCCCACACTTACATCATCTTCACTTGCATTGTGTTAGTTATCACCTATGCTCTCCCCCCCCCCCTATATATACCATGCTATCTACTCCCATTGGGTATCTATTCCTTGACTCATCAAGCTGTTACATGGTGTCAGAAGTCGGATGCTGCGGATTCTGCAGATTCAAGGACCATGGACCAGCTCAAGCCGCCAGAACAGCTCCTCATCAACTGTCCCAATAAGGCGGACGCGTGGAGGCGGTTCAAACAGGCGTTTGAATTTTATTCAATTGCCGCTGGACTCAAGGACAAGGATGGTGTCATCCAAGCCGCGGTATTTCTCCATGTCATAGGAGAAGATAGCCAGAAAGTGTACCAAACATTGCAGTTTGACACAGAGGAGGACAAGAAGGACATTGACAAGCTGAAGGAGAAATTCGAAGAGTTCTGCATCCCGAAAGCAAATGCAACAATGGAACGATACTTATTGCTCACCCGGAAACAGGAAGAAAATGAAGACATTGACTCGTATACCATGGAGCTCCGTAGAATGGCGGAGAGGTGCGAGTTTCCAGCCACGAAGGACAGCATCTTACGGGATTGCATCGTTCTGGGTGTGCGGGATGACGGACTTCGCAAGGAACTTCTTCGACAAGACGAGAGTCTAGAAAAAGTGCTGTCCTCCTGCAGATGCAGAGAAGCTGCTCAACGACATATTAGACATTTGACCCACGAAGCGGTTGGTTCAGAGACAGACAAACGAGACATCGACGCTGTTAGGTCACAGAAGAAAATACAAGCCAGACCTCCAGTGAAGTCCTGCGGATACTGTGGGGGAACACATCCTCCAAGGCAGTGTCCGGCGTACGGTAAAACATGCACGAAGTGTAGCAAGGTCGGCCACTTTGCTAAGGTGTGCAGAAGTCAGCAAAAGTCACCAGCAGTCACAGCAATAGAGCAGACAGCAGTACAAGAGCAAGCCGTTCAGACGCGGTTGTTTGGAACGATCCTAGTCGGTGAACTATCAGCGGACAGATGGAAGGAGACCATTATCCTGGATCAACAACCAACGTTGTTCAAGCTGGACACCGGTGCAATGGCATCCGTACTGCCATTGTCAGTCTTCAGGAGCAAACGGCCGGACCAGCAGCTTGAAACAACTACTACCATACTCTCTGGCTTTGATCACAGCACGGTTCGACCAGAGGGAACGGCTACTATCAAGACAACTTACCAAGAAAAAAGCATACCAGTTACCTATTATGTCAGCCGGAAAGTATCTTGCCCAATTCTTGGGCAGAATGAATGCGAAGCTCTACACCTCGTTCAACGCATATTCCAATCAAGCTCGAAAGCTGACAACCGGGAGAATGTCATCGAGCAATACCAGGACGTATTTACTGGGCAGGGGACGTTCGGTGAAAGCTACCACATTCAGATCGAGGCTGACGTTGTCCCTGTCGCACAGCCACCAAGGAAAATCCCGCACAGCCGTCTTCACAAGTTGAAGGAGGCACTAGATGAAATGAAGAAAGGCGGAATCATCACGGATATGAGAGAGCCAGCGAAATGGGTCAGCAACTTGGTGATGTCTGAAAAGAAAAATGGCAAACTCAGAATATGTCTGGATCCGAAGCCGCTGAACAAAGCCATCATCCGTGAGCCATTTCCAACCCCTACACTTGACTACGTCCAAAGCAAGCTGGCGGGCAAGAAAGTATTTTCTGTGCTTGACCAATCATCATCATTCTGGCAAGTCAAGCTCAGCGAAGAGTCATCAAAGCTTTGCACATTCAACACCCCATGGGGCCGAATGAGATTTCTCCGAATGCCTTTCGGGATACGCTCCGCCAGTGACATTTTGCAGAGACGGAACTACGAGACATTTGGAGACATCGAAGACACGCACATAATGATAGACGACACGGTTGTCGCTGGAGAGACAGATGGTGAACATGATGAAGTACTTGAGACTGTACTCGGACGAGCACGAGAGAAAGGAGTCAAATTCAATCCTGACAAGTTTCAATACAAAGTATCGGAAGTCAGCTACATGGGCCACCTAATTGGAGAGGAGGGCATTCGAGCTGATCCTGGGAAGGTCAATGCGATCAAGTCTCTACGATCACCAACGAATGCCGCTGAGCTGAGACAAATCCTGGGGATGGTCAACTTTCTAGCACAGTACATTCCTAATGAGTCGGCCATTACAGCACCACTCCGGCAGCTACTCAAGGATAACACAGACTGGCTGTGGTGTGAAGAACATACTATAGCCTTCCAGACAATCAATGAAATGCTGACGACGGCTCCCGTGCTGAAACTATTTGACCCGAAAGAAGACGTCGTGATTCAAGCAGATGCATCCAAGGACGGACTGGGTGCTTGCCTACTCCAAGCAGGTAGACCAGTCGCATATGCATCAAAGGCACTTACTAAGTCTGAAGAGAACTACGCGCAAATTGAGAAGGAGCTACTTGATATCTGCTTTGCGTGCAATAGATTCCGACAGTACATCCTGGGGCAGGATGTCGTGGTTGAAACAGATCACAAGCCGCTAGAAATCATCCTGAGGAAGCCACTTCATGAAGCTCCTCTGCGCCTGCAGAAAATGATGCTACGGTTGCAGCAGTACCAGCTGGATGTCCAGTACAAGAAAGGCGTGGACATGGTACTTGCAGACCCTCTATCACGAGCTACAGTAGACTCGGCCTCGCAAACCCTAGAGGACGGCGTCCTGGTCTATGATATGGGCGAGCTCACAGACACCACAGAGGAGAGACTCAACCAGCTAATTGCAGAGAAAAAGAAAGACAGTGAGCTGCAACTACTGAAGAAGGTCGTCGAGGATGGTTGGCCGGAAACGTTCAAGGCTACACCGCCCTGTGTCAGACGATTCTGGAGCATGAGGGACAGAATCTCATATTTGGATGGCATCCTCTTTGTGGGCGAACGGTATATTGTGCCAGCCAGCATGCAACAATATGTTCTACGGATTCTCCACGAATCACACCAAGGCGTGGAGAAGTGCAAATACCGTGCATCGGAATGTGTTTACTGGCCTAGAATCCAGCAAGATATTGAAGACATGGTCAAGCGATGCCCAGTGTGTCAGCGATTCCAACCAAGCAACTGCCGTGAACCAATGCTACCACATGAGATACCAAAACTACCTTGGACCAAGCTTGGGAGTGACATACTGGAGTTCAATGGACGCTACTACCTGGTCGTAGCTGACTACACTTCAAAGTACCCAGAAGTCAACTGTCTAGGCACGACCAAAACCTCGGCAGCTGTCATTACCAAGCTGAAGAACATCTTCTCTCGCCACGGCATACCGGAAGTCATGATAGCAGACAACATGCCATACGCGAGCAAAGAGATGAAGGAATTTGCAAAAGAGTGGCAATTCAAAATAGTCACAAGCTCACCGACATACAGCCAAAGCAATGGAAAAAGTGAAAGTGTGGTGAAAATAGTGAAACGAATTCTGAAAAAAGCGCTGGAAGACCACTCAATGGATCCAGAGTTGGCGCTGCTGAACTATCGGAACACCAGAATCTCCGGCACGGAATACAGCCCTGCACAGGTGCTCATGGGACGCAGGCTGCGGGACCGACTGCCAATGCCAGCGAAAAAGCTGGAACCCAAGACGGTGGACCCTGCGGCAGGTCTTCAAAAGCAACAAGCTCGCCAGGAGTACTACTATAACCGAACCGCAAAAGAACGACCAGAATTCAGGCCAGGTGACGATGTGCTGGTTCGTGAACGAGGGAAATGGACACCTAGCAGTATTAGAGAACAACACGAAGCGCCAAGATCATACATACTGACAGATGGAAGAAGGCGCACATCCCGTCATCTACGCACCAACTACGGACCTAAAAATGATGACAAGCAGGAGTCGGCAGCGCGCATGCCGGATACGAGTGATGACAACGTTCCCTCTGGCCCGGAGAGTGTGGGTGACGGCATGACCCCTCCGGAAGCAACATATGACGCGGATAAATTGGACAGTCCGGCAGAGCCTCGCTATCCGCAGCGCAATAGAAAAGAAAAGAAGGCAGATGACTATGTTTACTACTAGTACAACATGATTGAGCATCTAGACACGCATGCGCAGCTTGACCTCCATGCATCAGCCTATTGGACTTCTAATATTCCCTACATAGTTCATCTTTTACTAGACCTTGCCTGTATGCCTACTCTTAACAAGGTACACTCCTATTCATTAGGGAAAGGAGAGATGTGACAAATTCCACCAGCATTGAGTTAGTGCTTACCCTCACACTTCCATTCACACCTTATCCCCACACTTGCATTGTGTTAGTTATCACCTATGCTCTCCCCCCCCCTATATATACCATGCTATCTACTCCCATTGGGTATCTATTCCTTGACTCATCAAGTTGTTACACTATACTGTCCACTAACACCACCAGTTACTAAACAATCAGCTCATGGGATAACATTGCATGCCCACTGACCGACGGTACTGACGTTCTACAACTAACTGGCTAACAGGTCTAGCACATCTTGGATGCACACTCCAACAGCCTTCCAACTTGGACATCCAATACAGCAAGAAACTATGGTACACAGCACTAATAATGCGATACAACCAACCCTAAAGCTACCAAAGGCAAGTCCATAATGCAACCTATTTATGTACCTCTATTCCTCCTTGTGATTAACTTAGCATTTCAGATGTGTAGGTACGGTAAGGTTCATAACGCCTCCATTCTACAGTGTTCCATTTGTGTTAGTTTGTGACATGTGTGAGTTATTTGAGTACACACGTCTTGCACCAGTGTATTGTATAGTTAACCGATTCTCCTCTAATCAGCACCCTTGATCCTTTCGCGGCATGAAGCAAACTTTCGATTTGTGGAAGAGAACCAGCGATAATTATGTCAGAGTTTGCAACGTTTAAGCTTGTTCTTTTCCCACTGACTTTGCCCAACACCATAAATAGGTGGATGTCATGCTGAAAACAGAATGTCTCAGAAAATTGGTATTCATTGTAGTGCTTTTGCCTGTAGAGCACAAGTGGTGCTTTCATGAAGATTTTTCGAGGCGATGGTTTGATTGAGTTCTTGTGTGCTCCTGATAGCAGCGTAAGCCAGTCAATTTACAGATCAAGTAGGTTGGTAAAGCGCAAGCTCGAACGTTGCGAGCAACCAACTGTCTTACAAGTATAATTTCCTCAGAGGCCATTTCCACTTTTTCGGACTGTTATTCTCAGCGCAGACTGGGGATTTGCTGGTTTGGAAATGGAAATACTGCAAATGACGATCTGTCCTCTCCACTTGTTGTACACCTCCATGAGGGACACTGACTCATGCTGCTATCTAGTGTTCTCGAGGTGTTTGTCGCACTTGAAATGGAGTGTCTCTGAAAGTTTGTATCCCTGGTGATGTTCTGGCCTGGTGAACTCTTTGTTAGTGGTGCTCTCCAGGAACAATCTTCCTCAGCCTGCTCAACTCCAGCTGATGAGAGAACTTCTCCAAGCACTATATCCAGTGGTCCTTTATAATCCGGCACTATTTTTGCTATGGAAATTCTGCTGGATTAGGGAGGTTGTTGGATTAAAAATCTAAATTACTGCCGCAATGTGCATGAAAAGGACATTTAAGTTGCTGATAATTACCGTACTCGCGAGATCAGAGCCCTCTCTTGAACAGTGCCCTATCTCGATGGATGACGTGAACGTACAAGCATTTGAAAAACAGTGCCCTCTCTTGAATAGTGCCCCATCTGTGATGGACATTGAAAAAAATAGTGCCCCAAGGGCACTTATCGCGCGAGTACGGCATGCTGGTTTATAGAGGGTGCTGGATTATAAGGTACTGGATTGAAGAGGGGCGACTGTACTACTATTGATTAACGGACAGACCAAATCAAAATGACATCCGCGGACTAAGAACATATTTTTATCGCAGACTTGCTTAGCGATACCGATAGAGGTCAGGCGGACTCGCATCAGGAAGTCATAAAATGACTACATGTAAGTAGTGCAAGCATAGGAATGGTTTTTCCTAGTGTGGTGAAACTTCTTCTTGGTCTGGAGACAGTGGAGAATATTCGGGTTTCTGCTGAATGGTGAAACGTTCTTAGTGTGACACGACTACACTGATTATATTCCGTTGAATGTTTTCTTGTAATGGAGCATTGTGAAGAAGTCTGTGAGTATCACGAGGCCAGCTGATACAGTTCTAAATTCTGAGGTTTTTCCTGAGAATTTCATTTTTGATAACGCCAATGCGCCTCACTTGCAATCGGTTGGTTAAAAACAGCAGCCTCTCACCTTGATGAGTTGTCGGATACAGTCATAACTGAGTGCGGAAAATGCTCCAACCCAGCCTTCCATATCCAACAACTTGACGGACACATTGCTAATGCAATCGAGAATGGTCTCCTGTAAGAAAGAGGGAACCAAAGCACAACAGCAATTGACCACTGTAATGGTATAACGGTCTCGGCTTGGATTACAGCTACACAATCGCTCAGTGGTTAGAGCGGATGGTAGGGTGAAGGGGTGGGGTGGAGGGGGGGGGGGGGTGGGGGGGGGGGGTGGAGGGGAGGGAGAGGGTGTTTGGACGGCAATGGCATCGGGACCATAACACATTTTCGGCCCCTAGCGGTCAACTTCCTAGGCGTAACCGCAATTGTCACCTAACTTCCACTCTGAATTTTCATTGAAAATAGCACCGGCTCTCTGCTTTTTTTGCTCAGTATCGAGATGGTGAGGTCCAGTAGGCATGGTAAGCTTACCCCGAAGGAAACTCGGCGTGTTGCGCGAGTATGCGCCTGTTTGAAAGGTTTAGCGACACCTTAGAAAGCAAGTGCTCGTCCTCCAACTCAACGTGTTCAGTACGAATTTGATGGCAAGGGAGGGATGTGGCCGGTGCAGCGCAGAGTGCAGCGACCGAATGTAGGTCTACGCACCGGAACTGTGGCTGGCAAAACGGAAGTGACCGAGAGGGTGATCGTGAATGATGCTGACTATCGCAAAATGCTGCTCCAGATGGACGGTGTTTTTTATGTAATGAGAACAAAGATATGGTGGTTCAAGCGAAGTTCAGGGCAACCTGAGGCGGGGACGACCTAGTACTACCAGCACGATGGAGCTAGAGCCCACACCGGCAAATTCAACCAAAAACAATGGGCTTGACACGGAGCAAAAGCCGCCTTCAAAATAGCGGTAGTGACACAGCCCGCGCAGTCACCGGACCTAAATTCCAACGATCTTGCCTTCTTCGCTTCTTTGCAGTCCAACGTAGACCTCGTCAAAAAGAAAAATGTGAAGGACCTGATCAGCGTCATCGAGCTTTGCTGGAACAAGTATCCAATCGAGCGAATGGAATAGGTGTGGAGGGTTCTCTTTGCATCCTTCAAGGGGATCTTGTCAAGCAGGGGCAAAAACACCTACAGCAATCACACGGGTAGTCACACAGCTCATGCGAAGTCCGACAGGCAAGGCGATAAGCACAACCAATCCTACCCTCGCACAGAAGTGGAGAGATTTGCTGACCAATGCCCTAGTAAAAGTCGCATGCAGAGCGTCCTGACAGTGACGTCACAACATCGGAAAGTGATGAGTGTGGAATCGAAAGTGAGAGCTAACTTCGGTTGTGAGTTCCAATATCCTTGGAACAGTTGTATTTTGTATTTTATTATATTTAAGGATTTCCCAAAGGGTTTGGGCCTGTCGAGGGGATCTCTTGCAAGAGGAATGGAATGACAAATTTATGTAGAGGGAGCAGTTTTAAAAAGCAAGGATAGGCTAAGGAAATAGATCGAGGCATACAAAATCTGGTAATGAAGGAGTTGGGATACCGTCAGTGTAATGAATTTGTCGGCGAAAATGCTGATAGAGAGAATGCTCCACTCGAGATATGTTCTCGAACCGCTGGTTCTGTACAGTACTAATGTTGTGCCATTTGACTTTGTTCAAAACTATCACTTGAGTGAAGAACAATCATGTTTTCATTGTGTGAAGATAAGCGACAATTTCGGTTGCGGGGAGGAAGTATATATATATTTTTGAATTACACTTTTTGGACATACTTTTAAAAGTACAAATTTGGAGTATGGATGCGCTGAGGAATACTGTTCTTTCACACTTTTAAGAACGTTTTTAGTGGAAACAAGATGCTTTGACATTTAGAAGGAGGTCCCACTGTGGCTCGAACCTAAACTACATGATCTACTGTTCCCAAACCACTGGCATCCCTCCATACAAGGTACAATGAATGAGGCATGTCCAAATGCAATATGCACTGTGTTACACCACATCAGGTTCTTGAACATCCGCATTTTGAAAGGGCAACAGCAATAGACAATCAATGGGCATAACTAAGGAGTTTTTTTGACGACCTAGCTAACAGCTTGAATGTGGATTTAATCTGCTTCTCATTACATAGGTTACTTTTCCTTGTGTGAATATATGTATGTACATGTACCCAACGCTGTACACAGCTAGCTGTTTGGGCCATAAATCATGCCTTATCAGTACAGCTACGAGCTTTAAGTAAGTCGAGTTGCCGGCCATGGTACAAAGGTGGAACCACAGAAATTAAGACAATTCGTTGCTCTAGCGCCAGAGTGCTGAACTGTATGTATATGTATGTGCCGGAGGATGCACCCAGTGTGCTGACAGTGCTTAACACCGCAGAGGGAGAGCGTAATACAGGCCAACAAGGGCAATCAAAAGTTGTCTGTCGCTACCTAAAGTTTCATGCTTTCGCAATCATCGGGCAACATGAGGATTGCACTGGCCATGCCCGTATATATGCCAGGAGAGGATGGGTCTTGTAGCGCTGTGCGAAAAAGCTGTGTGTGTATGTATGTACTCAGTCTGTGAACAAAACTGTTTCATCCTTTGTGTGTGTGTGGGGGGGGGGGGGGGGGAGGGGGGGGATGTATGCATGTGTGTACATGTATGTCGCTACATGGTGCGACACAAGTGCACAGTGGAACGAGCAAAGCCGGTGAAGGAGCAGTCTGGGTCTGTTGAATGTGTTACATGCGGCCGCTGGCTTCTATCTCACGGGGACAGGGCGAACCATTGGTGAGGTCACTATCCAGCTCATTCTCTCAGCTAGCCTCGAAAGCAGCAGCAACAACAGCTACGGAAACAACCAGTAGTTCGAGACGGGCCAGGTTTGGCATGTCAGTGCCTTGTATGCCAGCGAACCTTCATGCCCATCAGTGGAAGGACTCGACATAAGTGCAAGCTGACTGACGTTCCAACTACAGCGGCACCACCCCTGGAGTGCTCCGCCTGTCACTGGACCTTCCGCTCAACTAGCGGCCGGACACGCCACCGATACTGCAGGGTGACTAGTACCATTTGACCTGTCCCTTCAGAGACTGCGAAGCCAGATTTGGCAGCAGGATCAAGATCAAGATGCATGTATGTATGTATGTATGTATGTATGTATGCATGTATGTATGTATGTATGTATGTATGTGTGTATGTGTGTATGTAGGGGGAAGTGGCCCCACAAAGAGGGCTCAACAGTGCTGAGGTGCACTGGAGCTAGTACACAATGGAAGCGGTCCTCACCAAGAAAACATAATCTGTTACTACTCCGAGTTTCTTGAGTTATCAATCATCATGCAACCTTAATAAAAAATGACCAAGAAACCACAATCTTTGAGCCACACAAGTTGTGTGGAATGTTGCTTTGCGTCCTTGAATCGTGGTTTGACCATGTTGTCTAGTTGTCTTACCAGTACCGTCATCAACATGCATGAACATCCGCCAACGTCCTTTACAGCTGAGACTTTCAACTCGTGCTTGTCTTGGTTGCGCTCACCTTCCCCTCCTCATGTTATTTCTATAACTAAGAACCTTCCAATTTGGAAGGCTGTTGGAGTGTGCATCCTAGATGTGCTAGAACTGTTAGCCAGTTAGTTGTAGAACGTCAGTAACGTTGGTCAGTGTAGTGCAATGTTATCGCATGAGCTGATTGTTTAGTAACTGGTAGTGTTAGTGGACAGTATAGCGTAACTTGTGGTTTCTTGGTCCTTTTTCTTTACTACTAGTATAAATTATATGCAAATAATCGACGTGGAGACAACAATTTTATGATAGCAATAAAGAGAACAAATTCTGCAGTCTTCGCCACACTACAACAAAGTCATGAAAGTTTACCAGAATTAATTTTCTTGTCACATTCATCAGTGGAAAGTCGTGACTAAAGAGTAACCATGCTGAACAATGATTAAATATACATTCAATGATGTGTTACGAGAACAAAATACAGTGCCAAAATAGAATGAGGGAAGGTGAGACAATAGAAGTGAAGTGAGAGCTAAGTGCAATGGCGGGTGAGAAACTAATAATAGAGAGGTTTTGCAGGGCAAACGTTCGCAATGATTTTCGCGTTCCGGGGTTGCGAAAACTCTTGCGAACTTGCGAACGTTCGCGCGAAATTTGTGTTTTGCATGTTTTTCGCTCCAAGAAATTTTCGCGTGCACTCGCTTGTTTGAGAAGTGGTCTTCATCCGATTATTTTGTTGTTCCGAGTGGCGGCACCCTGAGTCATGGCCTAAGACGAGAGCTCTTTGACTACCTTGTCCATGGCCGGAGACCTACAGACAAACGGGTTGGCTTGTGCCGTAATCTGGCGCATCAACACCTGAAATTCAAAAAGGCATCGTTGATGTGACAGATTCCGTATCAGTAGAGGATTCATATGCAGAGCATATCTGCATGACCCGATCGAGCGATAACTCACTGGCATACTCTTCTTCGAGCACCCGTCGTTGCATCGCTCGATCCCTTAGGCCACAGACAAGCCTGTCGCGGAGCCGGGTTTCCCGAAGTTGGGCCTCATGGCCGCACAGTGACCCGCATCTACCGCACTGCAGACTATCTGGGTAGCTGCATGCATCATGCAGCTGAGACAGACCCGAGAAGTACTGGCTGATACTCTCACCTTGTCTCTGGCTCCTGCCATGGGAGGCCTGGCGGTCGAGTAACGGGTTTCTTCGTTTTCTCAGGAAAGCTTGCAGCTTCTGGATAGCAACCCGCTCATCATCGCCGTCGGCTATGGGAACTACGCCCGCCTGCCACAGCCGCACCCAACCGTCGTTGAGAGCTGTACGGAGAACTGTCTGCTGCGTAACTGTACCTGCGGTTCTGCATAGCCCAGTCAACGACACGTAGTCGGACCACTTGACTTTCCACTCGAGGAAACCAGCTAGGTCTATCGAGTCTGGACTGGGCAGGTGGGGTATTTCCGCTCTTCGGGCCCACGGCCCTGCCTCTGGCTGTCCTGAGGTGGATGGTGGCGGGCCGCTGCCGGCGGGCTGGCTTGACTGCGCCGTTGTGAGTCTAAGCAGAATCTGCTGCTGCTGCTGGCTGAGGGATTGGACGATAGACTGCAGCAGGCTTCCTTCTTCTTGAGTCCCTGGCTGCATCCGCTCTGTCAACCCGTCGTTGGCTGCTGCTGCTTCCTCAGCCTTGGCCTTGACAGAGGTTCGTGTCTTTCGCTGCGCCATGTTGTGTCCTGCTCAAGGCAGACCAACTCTTCGAAAGATGATAATGAATCATCAGTAAAACGCAATGGCTTTTAAAAGGAAGCTGGCTGCAAAGGCGGCTTGAAAGGTGACATGTGAATGTGTTATGCGCAAGGCGCCAGAGGTACAGCAGTGCAGGGCCTAGGGTGCGAACAGTAGCACTAGCAGCCCGAGTGCCAAGACCCATGCAGGGAAAGGTGCCATAATATCACCACAATGATATTCCCTAAACTGTCTTCGTTTAGTCGCGTGCATGTGTGATATGAGCATGCGCGATTTTGTAGTCGAGAGTTCTTTTGTCAGTCTTCTTGTTTGTCTTTTTGAGTGTAGTCTGCTTTTTCCGTTATGTCATAGTCCCTGGTTTCCGTCATGTCAATATGATAATGTAAGAAAACTAGTCTTGTCAATTGTGTCCTGCGTCCCGGGAACGGCATTACGGAGCGTAATGGCTGTAATTCTGTCACATGCGTGATCTGCACCGCCAGGCGCGTGCTGACTGATCAAACTGCACTGCAGGGTTGAACTGTGCTGTACGCAAAGTACATTGCCGTCGAACATTTTTTTGGCGGGAAAGGCTCTCTTTCCTTGGGTTTTGAGAGAAATCCAGGGATTCTGCATGTCTTGTCAATGATTGAGATTTTTCTGGTTGGTGAGTATGGAATTTCTTTAGCTCGTGAAGCTTTGATGCTGCAATCGCCAGTCACTTCTCGACTTTAATGTCAGATGTTCCATCTCCAGGGATGGTCGGTCCGAAGTACTTGAATCATTGCCCCTGCTCCAATGATATTCCATCCACATGCAGTGCAGGGTCACCAGGTCAAACAGGCTGATCAGGTGTCACCATTATTGTCTCATTGGCATGTAGCACGAGGTCTGTATCGTTGTCTAGGAGACAACCAATCAGGGACATTCCCGCCAAGGGCCTTATCGGAGTTTAAAGCCCCCTCTATCATAATTTTACTGCTGTTGATGACATGTTGGGTGTAAAAGAAAGAAACCTACTGGTAACAAAAGCACGTACCATGACAGGAATCCAATGACTAGAATAGCTTATCCATGAGATTTTTCTTGCGCGACCACAGAGAAAAGCTACAACCTGCAGAGACAAAGTAGGCAACACTAAAGCATCTGTTAGGATCTCATTTTTAAACTTCTTAAGCTTAAACACGTTTCAACTAAGGCCGCAGCGAAAAAGTCCTTTCGCATCACACGCATATACGTGTACATGTACGTGCGCGCAGTTCATGATGTGTCAGGCCCAAGCTCTTCCTTCCTGGCTCTGGCTAGACATTTCGGTCCTTTGCTTCGAGTTAACTTGATCGAGTCGGATTTTTTAAAGGGGGTTGTATCTGCCAAGTGTGACGTTTCAACACTGATATGTTTTAGTTTAGAAACTTTAGTGGCCATGATTCTGCCTGCAGTTTCCGTCACTATAGTTGAAGACGGCCTGACCGTCGTCAACAGCTGCATTGTTAGAGTCACGGAGGCGTGTTAGAAACTATTCATCCAGAAGGTGTCACTCACTTCAAAGCAGTGTGTGCTTCCTCCACTGAAACCGGGTCAAGCCGCAACGGTGCTGACAAGAGTCATAATGTTGGATTTGATTTGGAGTTCGGACTAGGCCCCGGCGGATAATGCTGGAGAATTTGATGGATTCTGATTTTCAATACGCTCGCATTCTGCTCCAAAATAGCACTGATAATGCTTGAATTCTGCTTAGAAAAAATGTAAATAGTGCTATAGATTACTGTTGCAGATTGGTAACTGCATACATGTATTTTGCAGAATAAGTTATGTTCTACGAAACAGAAAAAAATCAAGAAGCACAGAATTATTATTACTCAGCAGGCAAAGGCGCAGTAGTAGTCGTGGGGGTATTGTGAATTCTCACGAAAATCCAAAATTTTGCAAGAATATGATAGTTTTCGCAAGAATATGCTAGTTTTCTGCAAAACTTGCCGGATTATGCAAGCACAGTGCTAATTTCCAGAAAGTGTTAAATAGCTAGATATTTTTTTACTAAGTACACAACCTACTCGTCAGGAGGGGAGAAGACAACAGAGGATACAATAACAAAACAGCAGGGAGAGTAGGGGCTGCAAAGCAAGCATGTGCTGGTGAGGCAAGCCCACAACACCGACCTATGGTCTCGGCGTTAACGTGAGCTTGTGCACCACAGCCGAAAAGAAGGGGGTGATTTAGTGCGATAAAGACAATGGAAGGTGAGGTAGAATGGTTGAGGAGAGAGAAAGAAAATGAAAGAGAGAAAGAGGGAGAGCGAGAGTGAGAGCGAGAGAGGGGTGGGGGTGGTGGGGGTGGAGAGAGAACACGGAGAGAGAAAAATAGTTTCAAAGGCAGTTCAGATGCAGTGAACATGATGCAATGCTTTGGGGGGGGGGGGGGGGGAGCTTCAAGATGGAAATTGTTCTGAACTGTTAGAGGGAGTCTATGGCCCAAAGCCACTGGCTTCGGCGAAGATGGTAGTGGACGTTCACTTTGAAGGATTGTAGGCCCTTAGGAGATGGTGGTTTGGTGAATAGGGAGGATGACAGCGCGTTCCAGGTGTTGATGATGTTGTATGGAAAGGCGCGTCTTAGGTAGTTAGGAGCGCCTGGAGGGGGAACATTTTCCAGTTGGTAGGGGTGTGAAGCAGATTGTTGGCATTGTCTCCGGGTTACAGGTGCGGCACGGTGGACAAGGAGAGGAGGCACCATGTATCTCAGCAGAGGAGGACCTGGTTGGCCCAGTAGCTTGTAGACGAAAGTCAGCGCCGCCACTGTCCGTCGGGCCTCGAGGCTCTGTAGCAAGATTTTGGGTCCCAGGAAGTGGAGGGCACGCCTCTGCACTCTGTAAAGGTGTTCAAGGTTGGTGGGAGCAGCTCCCATCCAGACAAGGGGAGCGTACTCGAGCAGGGGCCAGACGAAGCCGTGATACACGGCCATCATGCCCCGGCAGTCCAGAACAGCTCTACGTAGGAGGCCAAGACGTGAGTTTGCCCTGGCAGCAACTGACCGGAGATGCGTGGAAAAGGATATCAAATATAATGCTAGCATTATCCGCCGAGGCCTAGTTCGGACGCCCGTATTTTTCCTCAAACTGGAGCAACAGAAAGTTGAAGTTCCTGGCCCGCGATGATCGCTGAACGATGTGTTGATGCGCAACGGCTCGGAGCTCTGCTTTGCTCGGTGTCTGAATATGACCAGTTTAGTTGTTCCTGGCGGTCTGATCGAGCTGTTGTCTCGTTGATTAAGACCAATCGAGCATGTGTTTAAGTTTGATGTGAACAATGTCATAGCGTTACCGAAATATGTATATGTTCCCAAAGGGGAACGTTGGCCGGATTGTGTACCCAAAGGATGCTGGTTTTCATGAAAGGAAGATGCGACGTGATCAATTATTAATTTTCTATGTGTTAATGGAAGAAAAACCTTACACGCACCATCTTCAACTCAAATGGTCTCTTTGCTGCAAATTAGTGTTAGTGGACCAAAATAAACGTGAAATACTAGAGGTGGAGAACACAATTATGATGGTCATCGAGGAGTGTCAGTAACCACATGTCAGTGGTTTGCTGCTGATGCGTCACTGGTATATACCGTGACAGTTTTGTACCATGATCGAAATGCAGTTGAGCTCCACACTAGGAGCGTTTACACTTTTTGTTTTGTATGCACCACTTGCAATGATCATGTGTTGTCAACATGCTGTTGTGTCAAACACCATTCTAGCGCACATCAACTGGAAGTCTGGTCACTGGTGATGCTGCACGGGGTCGGTTTTCATCAAACAGATGGCGATCTCAGGATGAAACTAGATGAAGGACATCGGCTTGGGGCTCACGGCTGTTTGGATAATTGGCACGCTCAGATTAGTTGCAAGAGATTGGTACATTAGCCAGACAAGAAGAGTCCCAATGAATCTCTCAAGATCAATTGTTTCCGAGCTAGTGTTGTCCTTCAATGTCCTTGTCGCGGATATTGTGCGGTACTGACTCGTCCACTATTTCTAGAGAAGTACAGGGTGTACACCCCATGAGAGATCCACTGGTGATGACGTAACGAACTCGGGGTGATCGTCAATGGATGAGTCAAGTTGCATTTGAGGTTGGCTATCATCGTCAGCAGTCTATTTCACCCAGCGTGTTATTCCAGCTGGTTGCAGATTGACACTTTTCGCCGTCGTCCTCACAATAACAGAACAGCCACCAACGTCATCATCCTCTCCACTCCTTAGTCTCACAATTATCTAGCTCCATATTTCTAGCAGATTCCGTGATACGTTTATCATCCATCAAATCATCTGATTACTCGTCTTTTTTGTTGTCCACGTTCAGATTGCCAGTATTCGGTGGCACTATGACAAAGATCTGAAGGGTGCTTGAGTTCTCGACAGCTTCCTCAGCTTCCACTAGAGTCGCTATTCTTGATTACACTTCCAGGAAGGACTCTGCTACCATAGACATTTCCATCTGCTATACCCCACAACTATCTGCATTTTTAAGTCCAGCTGCCTTCGTGATCTTGACAGCTATGCCCGTGCCAGAAAACAATGGAGTAACATCTGCTCAGCCATTTAGTTTAGTACTGCTCTTCCCAAATTTGACCTTTATTACAAGAAGTGTGTCCTTGGGAGAATGAAATTGAAGACACCACTGCAGCTGTACTTATGGTTGATAAATATGGTGGTAAAGACACACCTGGCAATATGGCGGTAAACACACGCCTGCCCACACACGCTCTCTAGGCTGCAAAGTTCTGGCACAGAGCTCTCCTTCTCACCACCACCACCATCAGTTCGCGCCTGGCGCCTGGTCGATGCATGGCTGGCGGTATCCGGCATAGCAGGCTGGTACATCAAGTAGCGCATGGCACATAGATGATGACACAGCAACGACATAGCTCGATTGCGACGTACAAATTCCGGTTGCTGCTCAGTGACACTGCAAAGGAAAGCGCAAGCCAAAGTCAGCGCAGCAAGAGCTACCCAAGGCGATTTGGGCGTGCATGCGCAGCAGTTGAGTGCACGTGTAAAGCCAGCTCAGTCGCAGCTAGCTAGCATGAGATAGAGAGCAGCGTATCGGTCTTATCGCTAACTAGGGTTAGCCCAAAAGCTAACCCAACATTTACAAGACTCTCCTTTTTCTTTTTCATTTCGTTTTCCCATTCTCACACACACAAGCTCACAGTCAATTCTGCCGTCGCGAGTCCCATTCGGGACGGATACGAGAAAATAAATTAATATTAATAATCCGGTGCTTGAGCATACCAAGACCAATGCAACGGTACAAGAGCATCCTGCACCCGAGGATAACGAGCCTGAAGCTAGAGATACTTCAGACGCCAACATCTCTCCGCAGGACCAGAAGATCAAGATTCTGTGGGATTTCACTATCTGGTGCAATCGCTTCATTGAGCACCGACGGCCTGACATTGTTCTGGTTGATGGACCTGCCAAGAATGCCCTGATCATTGACATTGCTGTACCTGGTGATCCACGCGTTGCTGGAAAGGAAGTTAAGAAACGTGCCAAGTATCAACTGCTTGCTCGCGAAATCCATCAGCTATGGCAAGTTGAGACTCAGATTGTTCCTGTGGTAGTTGGGACTTTAGGCACCGTTTCCACCATCGGTGTCACCAGCTACTGCTCTCTGTCTGAATTGCAAAAGAATGCTCTCCTTGGCTCTGCATCTATCCTGCGTAAGGTCCTTGATTCGTAATGCTCTGGGTTGGGTGGTGGAGTTCTTTCGGTCCGATTTTCCTCCAAACTCTCTCGTGTTCCTATGATCGATATTTAAAAAGTGTTGTGTGTTTCTCTCTGTTGTTTACCTACAATCATATTTAATATCCATATGATGCATGGCCCCACCTTTGGCGGCTGGATGCTAGCCCGGTGGGTGCCCATCTCCGGCCTTCGGCCGAGTGCTGATGGACACCACACTAAAGCTAAAGCGCTATTATCTGGAAGAAATACCACTGAATGTAGAAACAAGAGGCGAAAGTTCAAGAAAACCATATAAAGCATCCACACTTTGTTGCATATTGTTTACCGTATTTCCGGGATGTTAGCCGACCCCCCATTTTGGGCCCAAAAATTCGTATATTTTCGGAAATTCGGAGTATAAGCAGCACATCAGAGTTTGAAATTTTGGACTTCCAAACTTGATTGGCCCTAATACATACAATACAAATTAATATAAATATATTAATTTTATAATACTCATAAAAAGGACACACTTCAGGCTCTTTACGAACATCTTGAAAGTTTTTGGTTTCACAAGTATACTTTCAAGCCTTCTCATCAGGTGAAATACAGGCAAAGGAAAAGGAACAGGAACAGTGGATTAAGTACAGTAAGGAGGTGGTAAAACAGCGCAAAGAAGACTAAAGTAAACATTTGTATTATCGCATTTTTGTCTTAGAGGAAACTGTTTACTACATTAATTTCACTAATGGTTAAAATGTTGAGAAGCACGACAGAAGTTCCAGCAAAAGTCTCTTTGTCAGTCCTCACTCTGAACTGACAGCATAGAAGCATTGCACAACTGCAGTGATGAATTACTGTTCATGAGAAGTACTACCTCCGACAAGCGAAACTTAGCGCGTTTTTACTTCAAATTACTCGAAATAACTCACACTTTACATTCGAAAATAATGATTGACTTGCCAAAACACAACTAACTTTGTATTGCTCAACAAGGACATAATTCATTAGAGACACCAGTTACCGTAAAGTCGCGGATAAAAGCCGGGTTTGCATACAAGCACATCGCGGATCCTGAAAATCAAACGGGTCAAATGCATAAAAGCCTGTCGCGCGTAGAAGCCTGGTTTCTATGCAAGCGCAGATTGGGTAGGTCAAGAGTGCATGCGCTATGCACAGTGCATAGTTAAACTACCGCCATACCAGTAGTCAGTAGTAGATCTATACGTGTCGCGCGTAGAAGCCTGGCTTGTATGTGCACACAAGCCTGGCAAAAATATCAGTGGTGCATATAAGGATGGTTTGCATACAAGCCTGGTTTGCATTAAAGCCTGGTGCAGAAAGAGGCTTATAAGCTTATAAGCCCGGCTTTTATGTGCGACCTTACGGTAGTCTGAATCATTCTCCTCTGACTCAGAGATCACAGCTTCTTCTGGCGAGGAATTGTCCCTGTAGTGAGACGAAAATGCGACAAGAGTTGATTCAGTTGCAGCAAGTACCTCTTCTGCCGTGATCGCTCTGGAAATCTTGGTGTCGCGCGTGTGTGCTGTGCTCGAGCCACGATGTCGAGGGTAGTCATTTCCACCGCCACTCTCCAGAATGCCGTGAATTGTGCAACACCTCCACACGCGCCTGGACTCCCAACCTCTTCGCCGGTTATTCTCGCCAACAATCCAAAATTGCCGGCAGCAATTCCTGGCAAATTTCGTTAGTCACCGGAGACGCATCGCTCGGAAGGCTATTGAAAGACGCTAGGTTGTTGGAATTTTCGCTCCTGCTCTTGTAGTAGTTGAGCACTCTTATGTGGGGTAGTGCCTTTGCTGTTTGCAATACTCACAGCTCACTGACTTGTCAGTTTGAGCACTCTGGCAAGGTACGTTCGGGCCTGATTGGACATTTTTTTATTTTCATTGCTATCAGGTTCGGCCTCATTTCCTCTGTGCTGCGCTGATGAGTTCACAAAGAACGAAACAGCATGCTGTCCGCAGATTGAGTAGGTTGTTGACATATACGCCTGGACTCTGTTCTGGCGGAGTGACCAGGTGAAGAGAGAGAACTCCTTGGTTTTGCATTGACATGCGAAGGCACGACAATTCTCCTTCGCAGAATGGAAGCGCGCACCGTTGTGCTGGTACACGAGGGGACTGGTCTGCCTTAGCAAACCGCCCTCTGACTAAGTCTGAACTATGTGCCACTCACCAGCTTATCGCTTGGCTTCCTGCACCCGGTAGCATCGAGCTACAAGTAGGTCGTACCACACAGCTTTGTGATGTTGTGGTACCAACACAAAAGCAACAAAAAAAACAAGCGCCAAGTTTCGCTTGTCGGAGGTAGTAGTACATAAGAAGTAGTCGAATGACACCATAATTATCATAAACTCATTGCACATTGTACTTACGTGTTAATGGCTTATGCTATGAACGAAATGCTCTACATGTGCCAAAGCATGCACCTTCATATACTTAAAATAAATACATATGTTATGCAAACAAGTGTTTCGGAGACATATAATACGGATACCTAAAGGTGGATGGGGACAAGATCATTGCGTCACGTGCGTACCATAACATTTTTTACATGTATATTCATCACTTGGACACTGAGCCAACAAATATATTTAAAATGGAAGAAATCGCATGGAAACAAGTTATTAAGCCACTATCCACGACTGTAACAAGATAACAAGCAGTAAGAAACCTTGAACGTTCCAAGCTGGAAGGCTGTTGGTTTGCGCACTGAAGGTGTGTGAGGGTTAGATCTCAGGTTGTTGGATGTCTCCGTAACATGTCAGTTTTGTGCCCTCTTATCGCACTTTCTGACTGCTTATTATCTTGTTTCAGTCGTGGATAGTTGGTTCATAACTCGTTTCCATGTGATTTCTTCTATCTTAATTCTATTCACAAGGGCGTCACAGGGCGGTTGGGAGTGGTATGACCGGGGTCCGGGTGTTCTGCAGAGAAAAAATTCGGATTTTTCGGCCAACAGGGCACGTTTTAGCACTCTACAGCTGCGAAGGAGGGATCCCCTAGCACTTATTAGACAACCCCACTCCAGCTCAAAAAATGCTTCTCATGGATTTTTTGGTATTTTCTGTACATCATAGGTGAAAAAGGAAGCCATTGTCCTCGAAACGTGCCGGTATGTCATGCCCTGCAAAAGTGCGCCACGCCGCATGCTCTAGTCTATGTACACGGCCGGCCCGCGGACAGTCGCGAAGTAATTATGTTTTAAAACTAGCTGTTTTTAGAGAAAGAAGAAGATCCTTTTTGTGTTCGGTGGGATTGAAAGATCTGCCAGTGGGCCGGAGAGCTACAACACTGGAAGCAGAAGAAAGGGCTTGTGGAATCTTCTCTGTCTTCATGGCAACAGGACTTTAGTTTGCGAGAGACTTTCGTCCTGTCGTCGCGGACGCCATTCTTGTTGCTGCTACCAGAAAATTCTGAGAACGAAACAATCGCAAGTCATTTGGTGAAGCGGGTTGTGTCGGTGAACAAATGCAGAACGTTCTGGCGCCGTGGAACAGCAGTCCAAACACTTTTCAACTTCGGAGAATGAAGCGCTTCCCTATTCCGTTGACAAGCACGGGGTTCGCGGTTATAGATGTAATGCATTTTCGCATCAGCTTGCAGTAGATCGTCAAGAGCCAGAGGTACTAGGTAGGTGTCGTTGTGGAAAGAATATGTTGTTGTAGCTGACAAGTGACATGCTTGTAGTGTCTCTTGACCGTGCTGATCGCCAGAACTAAACATTTCCAAGATCTACCATATCGTAGATATTGGAAATTTTTAGTTCTGGACCCAGTGATCGCCGCCAGCACGGTTTCCGTCAAGTTTGCAGTGAATGCGTCCACGAGGAATCCATCATCTGGTTGTCTCTACCCGTGACTCCAACCGCCTATCGCAATGGATAGTCTCCCGGAGTTTTGGGGTGCCAGCTGCTAGGCATCAAGTCTGAACCAAATAATTGTATGCTCCTTGCAATGAAAGTAACTTAGTTGTGATGTTTTGTACAAGTTCGAAGATCCTTGAATTTTTTATTGCTTTTTTGGATGAATTGGGTGGACCATCCTGGACGAAAAGTGGTACGACCATGGTCGTAGTGGTCATACCGTGTGTGACGCCCCTGATTCATCACTTGCTTCACCAAAAGCCTATGCATACATAAAAGAGAGCAACTATCAGAGTGCCAGGTAACAACACCAGGACATGACTCATGCGTCTGCTGGCACAAATCAGTTCATCTGGATAAGTCGAAAAAGGCATACCAGGTATACCGGTACCTGTAATGGACTATAGAATGATTACCTCTTGATTGCTTAGCAGAGTACGGATGTACTTCATTATGATGGACACAACCTCTGTATGCCTTCCTCGCAATGCCAGATCAAGTGGAGTATCATGGCCCTAAAAGATAACAACACAAAAAAGTCACCCAAAGGTGCACTGTGCGGTTAGAACCCCAGTTCAGGTACCCTTTTTGGACCTTTTTTCAAATTTCAAATTCTGCAGCACTGCACTCTGTACGATAAAATCACTAAAAATCGCCAAATACGGGAGCTCGCCAGAGCCAGGGCCCATCTTGTTATGAATGGACTGTAGTTTAACTTAGTAACTTAGTTTATGCATTCAAGTCGATAGGTCTAGGGTTGCACGCGTGGTATGAAGCGCACAGACTTTGTCCGCCTGCGAATATTCGAATTTTCGAACCTTCAACCTAGATTATATCCGATCGATTATTCGTTGAGGACTTGAGGTGCAAGAGATCGAGGAAATTCGAATAATCGATTACTCGTTACATCGATAATTTCTATCGAATGGGCCGAATGAGTACGCGGGTTATGCAGTATAGGGATCCAGCATATGTTCCTCAGCATAAAAGCAAGCAAAGAATAATGAGTACATGGGCATCGGAAACAACTTCAAAGTGCAGCAAGGGATTGTATGAGTGCAAACAGGTATGACAAAATCTTTGGGCTATTGCAGCAGTGGACAGCACAACAGAGAAGGCGACAGCAACAGTAGGGGGGGGGGGGGGGGTGATGTTGACCAGGGTTGGGAAGCATTACTGTCCCGGTTTCCTTCATCCAGAGAGTAAGACCAGGGTTCCCGGACTCTCTCAATAGAACAAAGTGTACGTTCCAGATGGAGCGATAACTAGACCAGCAGGTAGCGCATAGACATCACTCAGTCGTGGCAGTCGGCAATGCGCGAGGTGAGGTAACATGATGACAAACTGCACAACTCCATTGTTGTCACGCCAAACCAATTCATGGAGGTTAAGTCACTACTTTGATTGTGCCAAGTGTGCGAGACACCCCAGTAAGCTGCCAGGCCAAGTCAACTGGTTAAAGCTTTATGTGTCTTGATCTCGCCTGTGCATGCCATCCTTATGTTTTTCGGTGCTGGATCTGAACTTGAGTATTTATTTATTTTTTCCTCTTGCTGTCCTCTGATGCTTCATACCGCTTTCAGTACCAAGCCATTACCTAGGCCATGCAACAGAGTGCGTTCGATTATGCCCGCGAATCGATTCATGAATCGATTTGCGCTATTCGCATCACCCCATGTGAACGGACTGGAGCGTCGCAGAACAACAGCAGCAGAACTAACAGTAGCAGGATTCGAAGCAACAGGACTATCAGGACTCCAAGAAACTGTAGGTACAGGAGACAGTGAAGAAGAAGGCGCTGCAGGAGAAGGCTCGGGTACAGAATCATAAACTAAAGTGGCGGTAGAAGAATGATTAGTCGGCGAAGACAGACTAGGAGACTGAGAATAAGAAAATGACTGTTGATGACGGACTGGAGCTGATGTTAAAGATTCTGGTGAGCTGTGGCCTGGCATTCGTAGATGAACATGGTCAGCATGCCGTTTCCACAGACGACCATTATCTAGACGCACTCTGAAGGTCAAAGGACCACGGCGTTCTTCGAGAGCACCAGGGAGCCACTTCGGGGACGAGGCGAAGTTCATCACCCAAACTGCATCACCGCACAGGAACTCGGATGCCGATGGTGTCCGACCACCGCACATGCTGGCTTACTTGGATTCCACCTGTGCACCGATATCAGGAAACACGAGGTCAATGCGAGAGCGAGGCTTCCGCTGAGACCACAGGAGCTGGAAAGGTGTCTGGCTCGTCGCCGAGCGACGATACATAAATAGGAACTTGTGCAGCGGTGACTCTAAGTCACCAGAGGCGACCTTGCAAATGTCTCTCTTGTCTCTTGTCTCACTTCATGTAGCCCTATATCTGGTCTACATCATGCAAGATGCCAAAACTGTCAGCCCATTGGTCTCAGCCGTGTGCGCCTTGTCATGGAAGCATGATATCCAGGGATCCCCAGACCCATGCTCTAACGGGGTGGTGAAGAATGTGATGCAGGCAGCCAAACGCTCTCTGGCTCGACCGAAGGATAGAGAATTGCCATTAACAAAACCACTTCTGGAGCGCCTCCATCGGGAACTGTCAAGCTCATCACTGCAAGACCTGCAGACCCTAACCCTCATAGTACTGGGTTATTCCGGTATGATGAGGTGGGATGATTTGGCCAGCATCTTCGTGGACGAGGTAGCCATCAAGTCATCGCATATGGCGGTCTTCCTGCAAGTTCGCAAGAACGACCAACTGAGGCAAAGTAGCTCGGTGTTCATCAGCCGGTGGGAGAGTGACCTGTGCCCGGTATTGCTAGTGGAGCATCTGATTGAAAAAGGAGGGCACCAAGGTCATGTCAAGCTGTTCGAGCGTATAGCTTGTGTAAAGGGCAGGACCGCCATCAGGCACTCGCTATCCTACAGCAGAGCAAGAGAGCTAGGGCGTAAAGCTCTAAAGCGTATCGGCGTAAACCCAGATGGGTATCGTTTACACAGTTTGAGGTTGGGAGGTGCATCCACGGCTGCTGTAGCAGGAGTACCAGATAGGCTCATTCAGCGACAGGGAGGATGGAGAAGTGATGCTATGAAGGCTTATATTCAGGAGTCCCTGCCCAATCTGCTGCAGGTGTCCCATGTGCTAGCTGTGTGACTCTGCTGCTATACTTTAGCGTCCTTGCTGTGGCTGTCCCCCGCAGTTGCTTATTCTGTGATGATTGTGTGTGTGTATGAGTGTGTGTGTGTGTGAGAGAGAGATAGTGTGTGTAGGTGTGTGTGTGTGTGTGTGTGTGTGTGTGTGTGTGTGTGTGTGTGTGTGTGTGTGTGTGTGGTGTGTGTGTGTGTGTTTGTGGTGTGTGTGTGTGTGTGTGTGTGTGTTTGTGTGAGTATGTGTGCAGTACTGACGTGTGAGTGAGAAAAGAAGCATAGCAGCTCTTGTCCTGTGGAGAAAGTCAAAGCGTTTGAGATGAGGCGCGACCAACTTACAACCTTCCTTGAAATATTTTTTGGCACGTTTTTTGGCGTCCATTGACATCAGCGACGACGAGGCCTTCATCTCCGCGTGAAAACTCTCATTCCAACTGTCCTGGAATGTTACTCTAGCCTTCAGACTATCATACTGTGTAATACGTTTTGTATGGTTAAGCTTATAGAGTTGTCAGTAACAAGTGCCAAGTCACCACTCAAAATGCGACAATTTCAATGACGCGGAGGAAGTAGTCTTTTCTAAAAATCCTCTTCAAAAAGAGAAGGACGAACCGTTGTGATTTCGGTTAAAATGGAGAAGGGCAAAATGGTACGAGTTATGACTAACTGTCCACCAACATAACCAGATCATAATCAGGTGCGTGCGCCGGTGCCCTTCAAGGGGGGGGGGGGGTGCGGGGGCCTCCCCGGGAAAACTTCAAAAAATGAAGCAAAATCCTGCATTTTGATCGAAAAAGGGTTGGGGGGGGGGGTTCCGGGCACCCAGGAACCCATACGGGGCACGCGCCTGATAATACATTCAGTCATTACTCTTAACATTGTTTCCTTATCAGTTTCATCCAAATTTACATTGGCTCACCATCCGAATTCAACCGAGTTCTGAGTTCCGAGTTGTGATTTCATTCACAATTGGCTAGCACCTTTGTCTCTCACTCACAGCTTTGATTGTGTTGCCCAAAAATTGCCATTTCTTTCCTTCACTGATTTTTCCGTGTTTATACTGTGTTACACGTTCATTTGGAGTTACATGCACAATCCTTCTAATGAGATGGCAATGAAAACGTTTAGGGATACTGAGCCTCGGCCACAAGTGTTTGTGTAGAGTGTTAGTTTTGGCATAATAATAAATGCGCTGCAATCCGCGAAAATGACCCTTTTAGAGGTTTCTTAGTTTTTCGAGAAAGGGTCGATTTGTGACGTTCAACGGTTGTTGATCACGCTGCGAACAGTGTGACGAGCTTCTTGAACTCCTTGCTTGAAGTAAATTATTTTGAAGTTTGAAGTGGTGTCAAGTGTCGACTCGAGTGTTCCTTGATCTTGTTGCGATGGCTGCGGACGCCAGAGCACGCGTGACAGTCATTGTGTAGAGCTAGCTCGAGCCTTGTGGAGAGTGGATGCTGAAGTAGCTGCTGAAGTTCAGAGTGAGGATGAGACGTTCTTTGGTTCCGACATCGACGTCGACAGCGAGGCGGAATGGCAGCTGTCATCTCCTGCTGCGATGCGGCTGAAGGTGACTGATGATTCGTCAGAGTCGGAAGATGAGGAGTCGTCATCTGAGATAAATTCTGAGTCTGGGGCTAGTGACGGCAGCCACATCGTGTCTTCGAAACAAACGCCAACACCGGCCCAAGTCTGTCTGTAGGACACAAAGACGAGGAAAACCCTGACATGGCAAACACCTCTGACGGAGCGCTCATACCTGGGCAGCATGACAAAATGTGCCTACACGAAATGGGCAATACACATCATCCAGCAGCTGCATCCACTGATTTGAGCGACTCGGAAGCGGATGCAGAAGACCAGCGTCACTACACTGCAGCCGGAAGAGAGGACAAAGTACTCTCTGATGGACTGAAGTCGTCCAAGGGCCAGCGGGAATCAATATTACCAGAACACCACAGCAGATTCACTCTTGTCAAGAATAGACGGCCCAGGAAACAGAAAGCAACTCGTTTGCACTCCCATGCCATGAGCCAGAAGCCTGGCAGGCGAACGTGAGTACTAGTCACCTTTATATCTAGTGATGACATTAGCCTGACTATCTTAATGATCGTTATGCCTTCTTCCTGACTTAACCCCTCTGCAGCAGTGTTTGTTCCCCGCCCTTCTATTCCCCGACTTTGCCTTAACACGACCAATGCATTTGCACTGCTGTCCAAACTTGGTGAGCTTCACCACGCAGTGAAGACCTCGAAGCCTGATGTTATTATCTTGACAGAGACCAAGCTCACTACAGACAAGGTTACCCAGGCGGAAGTCTCACTACCTGGATATGCCCCTCCCATTCGTCGAGACCGCACCGCTCATGGAGGAGGAGTTGCGGTCTG